GGCAGACCAACACGGCTACCTATCTGTAATTGGCAAATAGTGTTTACACACACACACACACACACACACACACACACACACACACCCTTCCAAAAGGATTTAAAAAACCCAGAATAAATAAATATATTTGAAAGACACAAATGACATCAAAAAAGGCATTTTAAAAAGAGTGGCAAATACTCACGGCTAATAAAATCATGGATGGCAGGAGGGCAGCATAAAATTTCCTCCTGGATTTTAGCAATGATGCACTCTGCTAGGGAGGGCATTCCACAAGTGGAATGGAGCCACCACGGAGAAGGCCCTGGCTGCCAGTGCTAAATGGTTAGCCCATCTGCTGGTGGCTGCACCACCAACCCCACTCTCCCCTGAAAGAATTCCCTTTTGCCGGTGCAGGTACCATTTGAGGATGCAGCTGGGAGTTCCTTTGAGGCAAGCCAGGCTCTGTGTGATGCCGAGCAGGTGCCACCACCCATGGAGGCCAAGCAGGAAGACGACGATGGAGAAGAAGCCAGCCTGTTGGGTAAGGAGTGACACAGCCTCTGGGTGGCCAGGTTCCGGTGTGCTCCCTGACTTCTTCTCTGACTGTGGCTCCTTCCCTTCTGTAAAGGGAACATGTACATGTTTTCGCAAAACAAATATTGCCTAACATAAAGCATTTGTGTGCATTATCTTCACTAAAGTGTGCAGCGTTGTGTGTACACTTTATCCTAGTATATGTATTTTTGGTATGCATCTTGGGGCTGCAGAACAGCATTGCAAGGCTCTCAGAAGTGCAAACTTCGAAGGGTGGCTGTGTTCATGTATTGTTTTGGAACAGGCAAATTAAATGGATTCTAATTTGAACATAGGGGGACGCGGGTGGCGCTGTGGGACAAAGCCTCAGCGCCTAGGGCTTGCCGATCGAAAGGTCGGCGGTTCGAATCCCCGCGGCGGGGTGCGCTCCCGTCGCTCGGTCCCAGTGCCTGCCAACCTAGCAGTTCGAAAGCACCCCCGGGTACAAGTAGATAAATAGGGACCGCTTTATAGCGGGAAGGTAAACGGCGTTTCCGTGTGCTACGCTGGCTCGCCAGATGCAGCTTTGTCACGCTGGCCACGTGACCCGGAAGTGTCTCCGGACAGCGCTGGCCCCCGGCCTCTTAAGTGAGATGGGCGCACAACCCTAGAGTCTGTCAAGACTGGCCCGTACGGGCAGGGGTACCTTTACCTCTACCTAATTTGAACATGATTATATTTCTCCCCCAGCCTCTTTAGCTAAAACCAACCATAATTAGAGTTCCTGGCGCATCTAAACTCGTGTAGTTTTCTCCCAGAAGTCCTCATTGCTTTCTGCAAAAGTTTCATTGATATCACACAGCAGAGCTGTTTCTTCACTTCAGGAGTGGGGAGATTTTGGCCTTCCAGATGTGGTTGAACTACAACTCCCATCAGCATCACCAGTGATCTCTCTTTGGGGCTGGAATTGTAAACCCAATTGCAGAAAGCCACAGATTCCACATCCCCATGGAGAAAATCCTTCCATCATGTATGCACACAAGACAATCCCATTCAAGCCTGTGTTCTCTTCATTGTTAATTAAAAGCTTCCTGTCTATAGACTGAGCCCATGGCCCGGGATGATGGGCTTTGTAGTTCAGCAACATCTGGAAGGCCAGAGAGTCCCACAACCTGCTACATCGGAGACTCGTTTTCATTTGTGGGGATGGGAAGTTCCTGTTGTCCTGTCTTCCTCCTAACCACTTTCGTTCCTTGATTTTACTTTTACTTTCTCACCACCTCCTGAAGTCTTGGGAGTAAGTGATATTGGGGTTTTCTCGTTTCTCCAGGTGGTCAAGGATGGTTGACTGTAGATGTGAGGGGAAATCATGTGCCGGAAGATTCAGGAAAAGCACAGCCATGCGGGGCGACGACAGCCAGCCCGGAAGACCGGGGCCACGGGCAGGCCAATGTTTCTAAGAGTCAGCACAGAATAGAATCCCAGCAGGAAACCCACCCGGAAGAGAGGGCAGGTGGGCCTCTTCCTTCCAGCAAAGGCCACATGGATCTCGGAGGACTTGCCGTCCAGCAGAGACCCTCTGTTGGCAAGAGGCAAAACCTGTACGGCGCTTACGGAAAAAGCTTTGCACGCAGCTCCTGCTCCGCGAAGAACAGTCAGATGTGCAAGAGAGGGAAGCGACACCGGTGCTTGGACTGCGGGAAGTGTTTCCTCTACAGATCAGGGCTGGCTGCGCACCGACGCATCCACACCGGCGAGAAGCCGTACGTGTGCTCCGAGTGCGGGAAGTCCTTCGCCTGCAGCTCGGACTGCAGCCGCCACAAGAGGACGCACACGGAGGAGAAGCCGTACGAGTGCCCCCAGTGCGGCAAGAGGTTCCGGCAGCGGTTCAGCCTCAGCAGACACAGGCGGGTCCACGTGGCGGAGGACCCGTGCGCACGCTCGGATCGCGGGGAAAGCGCTGCCGCATTGGCCTGAAACGCCTCCTTGCCGCGATGGAGGAGACCATTGCAGTATGCAAGCAAAATAGGTGGGGGGAATTGGCTAAGGATTACCTGGAAAAAGAACACGAGACCCTTGGGACGTACGAACCTGTCTGAGTCAGACCACTGGTCCGTATAGCTTGGCCATGCCCACACGGACTGGCAGCCTCTTTCCAGGATTTCAGGCAAGGAGCATATCTCAGTCTTAACCTGGAGACAGAAGTCTGAACCTGGGACCTTCCGTATGCAATCAGATGCTCAAACCACTAAGCTACGGCCTTTGCTTAGGTTTAAAACAATCCATAGCACCGATAGGAAACTTGGGAAGCTGCCTAATAGCAGAGGTTTGTTCCACCTTGTTTGTTATTGGCTACAGTGATCGGCACAGGCTCTCCAGGGTGTCCGGCGGCAGACATTCCCAGCTTTGTAGGGAAATTATACCTGGGACCTTTGCATTGCAAAGAAGATGTTCCAGATTTCGGACTTGGGACCTGTTCTGGGTGAAACTTTTAAGAGATCAATAGGAGAAGGAATCCCTCCCACCCCCAATCCACGATTCAGGACACCACCCAGGAAAAGCCATCTTAACTACTTCCAGCCCCTGCCCCTTCAACCCGTCCACACTGAGTTGCAGCACTAACTAGAAACCATATGGAAAAGAATACGTTGCATATCCTTTAGTTCTTTCCAACACTGTGTGTTGACCCTGCTGGCTAAGAGAGAATTCACTCTCCAAGGGTTTTCGGTGGCCAAAACGACCGCCAAAATGGGGCATCATATTTGCCAGGATAATTGTTTTGTTCGCATTGCTGTTACGGTTCTAGAAATAAATATAAATATTTTTGTAAAAAAAGAGAAATGCAACAAATGTTTGGCAGAGGGAAATTGGTGGGAGGGAGAAGAATGTTCAGTTGGTGCAAGAGTGATCCAGGAGATGGTGTGGAAAGGTTTTTGAGGAAAAATTGCAGCATTTGGGACTTTTTCTAGTTTAGAGAAAAGGCCAGCTGCAGGTGACATGGTCTCCTTTCAGTCTCCTCTTCTAAGGACGTCAGAGGAGCCTTGCAAGATCCGGCCAAAAGCCAATCGAGTCCAACTTCCTGGTTCCAACCAGATGCCAACAGGAAGCTCAAAGGCGGGACATGCGCAGGGGCTCACTCTCCCTTCTCTTCCCCAGCGACTGGCACACACAGAGGCAGGTGACTTCCAATCCCAGACCTTGCATACAGCTAAAGATACAGGAGACATCTGATTCAATTCATACTTAAAGGTGAAGTTACCCCACAGGCATACGAAACACAGAAAACATCTTTCACAATCTGCACTTCTCTAAATTTTGCAGCGCAGTTCTCCAACAAAGCAGTGTGTCCAAAAATGTGTATTATTATTATTATTATTATTATTATTATTACTATTATCACCTTCTAAACCACTGCCTCAAGGCGATTTGCAAATAAGATAACTTGAAAACAGTTAAAAACACAAAAGCAACCGACTCATTTTAAAAAACCACTAAAACACAGATACTTGTGACACTTGAAATTCCTGCATTGCAGGGGGTTGGACTAGATGACCCTTGGGATCCCTTCCAATTCTATGATTCTATGAAAAGACCCATTTATCCAGCTGAGAAAGCCTGTAGGAACCAAAAACTGTTTTTGGAAAGTGCAGATAGCGGGTGTCTGTTGACAAGGACGCTATTTCACAGAACAGGTAGTAGCCATACTAAAAGCCCTGTTCTGAGTTACTTCAGAGTGGGCTTTTGAAATCTTTGGAAGTTGCAAGAGAGCCCCTCCTGTAGATCACAGTGCTCCCTGCAAAGAGGAAAATTTTGTGGAACCACTCTGGGAAATCTAGCTCTGTGAGGGAAGCAGTGGGGTCTCCTAACATCTCTCAGCACCCTTAATTAACTGCAGATCCCCAAACTCTTTAGGGGGAGCCATGACTGTTTAAAGTGGTTTCAAGGCACGATAAACGTATGGTGTGAATGTGGCCTAGGTCAAGCATGGGCTGCAGAACACAACCACATAAAACCCACCAGTCCGAAAGGGCCCAAAGCCATTCGGAAAACACAGCTCTTCATAACCTCTGGGCATGAACAGAGCAAGCCTTTTCTGTGGTGGCTCCCCACATTTGGAATGCTCTCCCCAGAGAGGCTCGCTTGGCACCATCACACACCCACACACACACCAGGCTTTTGGCCTTTTTCTCATATGTAGTCTTTTAAATGTGGGTGAGATTTTTTAAATGTATTTCTCTTTCTTCTTGGTTTTAATGTATGGGGATTGTTAAGGATAATGATTTAATTTCCTGAAATGGAAATGTTTGCTTATGTTAAATCACTGTGCACTTTTAACATGGTTCCCCCGCCCCCTGGCAGTAGCTCTCATACGATTGGCCGACTATGAGTCACATGAGAGAGGCATTCCATTCGGTTGTGATTGTTATTCCAGTAACTGTCATTTTTTAACTGCCTTTCTGATTTCTCTGTGTGTGTGTGTGATGGCGAGAGGGGCTGCTGAGAGAGGCTTCTCCAGATGCTGCCAAGGGCAGTGTTGTGTCAGTGTGATCTGTCTGAAGGGAAACAGAGGAAGATCCCTAAATGCTAATAGCGAGAAACCTGAGCTGTAAGGAACAGAGAGAAACCTTTCATAAGAAACTGTAAGACCTGAGTAAGGCAAAAGTCTGGTGCAAGTCTCAATACAGTTTTGTTTATAAGTCGAAGAAGACTTCAACATACCCTCCAACATTTCTCTGATGAAAATAGGGATGTCCTATTGAGCCTAGGGCTTGCTGATCAGAAGGTCGGCGGTTCAAATCCCCGTGATGGGGTGAGCTCCTGTTGTTTGGTCCCAGCTCCTGCCCACCTAGCAGTTCGAAAGCACATCAATTGCAAGTATATAAATAGGTACCGCTCCGGCGGGAAGGTAAACAGTGTTTCCGTGCGCTGCTCTGGTTCACCAGAAGTGGCTTAGTCATGCTGGCCACATGACCTGGAAGCTGTTGGACAAAGTCGGCTCCCTTGGCCTATAGAGATGAGCGCGCAACCCCAGAGTCGTCCACAACTGCACCTACCAGTCATGGGTACCTTTACGTTTATTCAATAATAATTTTATTTATACCCTGCCCATCTGACTGGGTTGCCCTGGCCCCAACCACTCTTGGTGGCTTCCAACACATATGAAAAACATGAAACATTAAAAAAACTTTCCTATACAGAGCTGCCTTCAGATGTCTTCTAAAGATTGTGAAGTTACTAATTTTATATTCTGATTTTATCCTGCGAACCACCCTGAGACCTGCGGGTATAGGGCGGTATATATAGATTCAATTAACAACAACAACATGATCAACAACATCAATGATAATAATCTCCTTGGCTCTGGGATTACCTAACTCCATACCCTCCAATATTTTTCCGATGCAAATAGGGACGTTCTAAGGAAAAGCAGAACATTCCGGGATCAAATCGGAAACTTCTGTAAATCCGGGACTGTCCCTGGAAAATAGGGAAACTTGAAGGGTCTGCTTCAATCTACAATTCAAGGGAGAACGTACCCATGTTTGAAAAAGCATGAGATTATAAATATATTCTTCTCACTTATATGTTTAGGAAAGTAAATACAGTGGTACCTCGCAAGACGAATGCCTCGCAAGACAAAAAACTCGCTAGACGAAAGGTTTTTCCGTTTTCGATTTGCCTCGCAAGACGAATTTCCCCTATGGGCTTGCTTCGCAAGACGAAAACGTCTCGCGACTTTGTTTTCTTTGTCTAAAAACAAAGACATGTTTTGTTTATAAAGTTAATTTATTTTCCCTTCAATTTTTGAACTGCTCTTTACAGTATGTGTGACTTTAAAGAGCAGTTAATAAACTGTTGTTGTACCAAATTTGGCTTTGTTTGGACTTTTTTTGACCATAGGAACGCATTAATTGATTTTCAATGCATTCCTATGGGATTTCGTGCTTCGCAAGACGAAAAATTCGCTAGACGACAAAAATTGCGGAACGAATTAATTTCGTCTTGCGGGGCACCACTGTACAGTATAAAGAGTCTGGACATTGTATGGTCTTCACAAAAAGGCTATTAATCACTTGATAAAGTGACTAACAAATTCAATAAAACAGAAGAAGAAGAATAAGAATAAGAAGAAGAAGAAGAAGAAGAAGAAGAAGAATGGCAAGTCCCATACATACCATAGACTAGAGAATAATTTCAAACTTGCCAGACAGCAACAGCCTCTTTCAATTATTGAATGCTTGGGGAATGTTTTTTATTTTTATTTTTAAATTCTTTCTGAAAGTCTTGCAATGAATGAGCATGCTGCATAAAGCACATTTTATATATGTGTGTGTGTGTTATAGCTGTCAACCGTCCCTTATTTGGCGGGAAACTCCCTTATCCCAGTGCTGTGTCCCGCTACTGCCCCTTATTGATTATGTCCCTTAAATTTCCCGGGTTTCATGCTCGCCCGGCTCCGGAGGGAAGCAGTGGCTCGGGGTCCTCCGCCGCGAGAGAGAGAGCGCGCACGAGCTGTCGTGTATCCGTCTCTCCCTTTTTCCTCTCAGGGGTGCGTCGTGATAAGACGGGTGGCGGCGGTCGGGCAGGCAGCCCCTCTCTTGCGAGACTTCTGCTGTGCTGCCAGGGGAGGCGGCAGCGGCGGCTGAGGAGGCGGCCTGAGGGAGGAGGAAGAGGAGGGGATGGGGAGGGACACAGAAGGGCGGCGCCGCAACTGCCTCATGCCGGGCTCGCATGCCCTCTCTCTCGGGCGGGGAAGGGCCGATGGAACTCCTCGCGCCAGGAGGACGGCAGCCCCGACGTGCTGCTTAGCATCCCCTCCAACCAGTGCAGCATCTTAATGTAGTGATTTCCCCCTCTGCATCCCTTTCATAACTCTCTTTTTATAAATCATTTGTCCACCCATAGTTCAAATTTTTACTACAAGTTTTCTGTCAGTCCTACCAATGTATGTAACTCTTGACAATAGCTTTTCAACTAAATTATAAACTTTCCCCATTCTTTATTAAAGAGGTCCTCTTCCTGGTTTCTAATTCTGCCTGGAAGCTTTGCCGTCTCGACGTCGTTCATCAGTTTTGTCTGCCCCTCTTCTTTGGTGGGAGTTGTAGACCCTTAGGATCATCTGGTCCAACCCTCTGCAAAACACAGTCAGTCGCAGCAAAAGCAGCCTGGCTCCATCAGTGCCGGATTTCTGTATAAGCTAAGCAAAATCCCTTATTTTGGCTGCTGATCCCTTATTTTCGAGGCTGCTGGTCCCTTATTTTCAAATCTGTAAGTTGACAGCTATGGGTGGGTGTGCATGTGCAAGTGTTTAAAAGGGTTAAATTGAGAGAGCCTTTCTTTCCTAGGAAAGATAATCAAACCGAGGAGGAAGAATAAAAAAAAAAAAAACACAGCAGTGGCGCCTCCTTCCCCGGTTTGGTTTTGCATTTAAGGTCCGCTGCATAAACACGAAGGAAGAGGGAAGCGATCTTGGTGCATTGAAAAGGTGAGAGTTGTGGGGCGGGAGCGATTCATTCAGAAAAGGGAAATGTAGGAGGGAGACAGCGACGGAAGACCCTTCCTCCAACTCCCGAAGCGCCCCTTCCTCTGCTTTTTATCCTTCTTGCGCATTCATTATGATTTGCGTCCCCGAAGGTAATCTGGGCGGTGAGACACCACCCCAGCTTTCAGTCCTGTTAGCTACTCTTGGCGCCTGCCAAAGTTTCGGGGCAAACGCGCCTCTTGCTCCCAGTGTGGCGTCCTGGTTAGAGACCTGGGTTCAGATCCTGACACTCTGCCTTGAAGCTCACTGGGGTGACCTTGGGCCAGTGGCTGCCGCTCAGCTTTGTCTACCTCACAGGGCTGTTGCGGAGGAATATTTAGAAATAAAATTATTATTATTATTATTATTATTATTATTATTATTATTATTATTATTATTTATACCCTGCCCTCCCCTGCCAGAGCCGGGCTCAGGGTGGCTAACACCAGTAAAATTACAATAAAAACATAACAGGGGACGGGGGGAAACCAAAACAGAAATAAATAAATGATGATGATACTTGTGGGATAGAAATGAAATAAATGATGTTGATGATGCTTGTGGGATAGAAATAAAGTAAATGATGATGATAATAATAATACTCGGTCCATGTCCTGTCAATTTCCAAAAACCCCAGTCTACTTTTTCGTCCCATTTTATTTGTGCTCTAGCTAGCGCAAGAGTGCCCTTTCTGGAGAACAATAACGCAACACTATTTTATCAGTTTGTTTTGCTTATTGCATTTATTTTTAGCCCACTGCTTCCTCCCCCCTAAGGTGGTGTACAAGGCAGTTCTCCCCTTCCACATTTAAAACCCGCAACAGACTGTGGACTCAGCTATGATGCTCCCTGGGGTGACCTTCGACCTCTCTTAGCCTAGCCTACCTCACAGAGCCGTTGTAAGGTTAAAACGGGAAGGGGGGGAACCATTTACACCAATTTGAAGCTTGTCAGAAAAATGAACGCTCTTTTGTAACGCACGTGCTGCAATTTTACCATTTGGCCAGAATGTTTATTTTTTTAAAATAATAATGTTGATAATAGTAATGCTGCCAACCTACAGTGTTTGGCATATTTTGTGTTTGTTCTCTTTTAGATGTGGTATTTCATTTTTGTGCCTGCGCTTCTAGCATAAGCATCCATGCATACAAATCAGTTGTATTGCTGGCATAGCTTTAAGTACGATTACAGTCAACATGCGTGGCCTTCTCATGGATACATTTTGCTGCAAGAGCTACAGTGGTACCTCAGGTTACATACGCTTCAGGTTATATAAGCTTCAGGTTACACACTCTAACCTAGAAATAGTGCTTCAGGTTAAGAACTTTGCTTCAGGTTGAGAACAGAAATCGTGCTCTGGCGGCGTGGCAGCAGCAGGAGGCCCCATTAGCTAAAGTGGTGCTTCAGGTTAAGAACAGTTTCAGGTTAAGAACGGACCTCCAGAACGAATTAAGTACTTAACCTGAGGTACCACTGTATGGTGCTTTGTATTGAGTGCTGTGAACCTGCGTTGTATAGCTGCTTGTGTTCTCGCAATAAGAGATTTAGCTTCTCTCTGCCCCATGGGAGGGGGGCGGCTGCTTGCAAAGGAAAATTCTCAGCAATTTCTCAAAGCGACAGACTACTATAAGTTCGTTTTAACCATCACTCTCAGGGATCCACATTGTCATATTTTGGAGTCGTCCCCCCCACATTTTGACATCCTTGGGTACCAATCAGGGCCTAGTGCTGATCCCTGTATTTTAATTTCCCACAATGCCCCTGACATAACAGTGGCAGCCCCCCATAGCTGTCAACTTTCCCCTTTTCTTGCGAGGAATCCTATTCGGAATAAAGGAATTTCCCTTAAAAAAAGGAAAAAGTTGACAGCTATGCAGCCCCCCTCAGTTATATATCACTGCTGTCGCTTGGCACCGCTGCCAAAGAGAGTTGAGGGTGGCTGACCTTCCAGAATGCTGGCCCTGATTCTCCCTGATTCTGGTTTTTCTTCTTTTTTTATGCAGGTAAAAGCTTTGTGCCTATGTCTTCAGGTACCGGTTGCTTATTCTAGTTTTTTTTCCAATCCAGCCCCACATTTGTGACTTCACACAAGGATGAAAATCGAAGAGCGGGACCCTGCAGGCTGCACACAAGGCGAGGCGTCAGAAGGAACAGGAAAAGCTCCATACTTGGGCATCGTAGGTTGCAAGATGGACATGGAGGGAGCAGTGCATTCTGGGAGTACCAGGGAGATTCTCAGGAGGTCAATTTTGCATCAGGTGAAGGAGGAGCCGGAAGAAGCCTTGACCCAGCATTGGGAAGCCCAATGGCAGACGTTCCTAGGAACAGTGGAGGCCCCTCACTTGGGCTGGGGGGTCCCACAGGTGCCGGAGGAGCCCACCCCCTGGGACGATGCCAAGACCTTCCTGGCCTCCTTTGAGCAAGTGGCCAAAGCCTGCCGGTGGCCCCGGGAAGAGTGGGCGGCCCGCCTCCAGCCGGCCCTCAGCGGAGAAGCCGAGTGGGCCTTTCGAAGCCTGGAGGCTGGAGACAGAGAGGATTATGGGAAAGTGAAGGCGGCCATCTTGCGGGGGGATGCCATGAGCAGGGAAGAGCGGCGCCAACGCTTCTGGGGCTTCCGCTACCAGGAGCCCGAGGGGCCCAGAGGGGCCTACACCCGGCTCCAGGAGCTTTGCTCCCGGTGGCTGAAGCCGGAGAGGCACACCAAGGAGCAGATCCTGGAGCTGCTGATCCTGGAGCAGTTCCTGACCATCCTTCCGCCGGAGATCCAGAGCAGGGTGAGGAATTGCAGCCTGGAGACCTGCTCCCAGGCGGTGGCCCTGGCCGAGGACTTCCTCCAGAGGCAGCAGCAGACCAAGAGATGGGAAGTGCAGGTGAGAGTGTTTCATCCTTATACCAGTGTTTCCCAACCGGTGTTCCGCGGCACACTAGTGTGCCGCGAGACGTTGCCTGGTGTGCCGCGAGATGTTGCCTGGAGGGAGGCGGGCGAGTCGGGCGGCGAGAGGCGGGGCGGCGGCGGCGAGGAGAGGCCGCCCAGCGCGGGGCTCTCGCCGTCTGCCTGCCTGGCTGCCTGCGAGCTCGGCGGGCAGCGCCTCCGTCCGCAGCGCCCGCCTTGCGGCTCTCATTCCCTGCCCCTGCCAAAGCTCACCCAGCCAAGCCGCGCTCTCCTTCCTGCCTCGCTTTGCTGCCTCCTCCCCCCCCACCCCCAAAGCTTGGAGGTTCCCCGGCGCCGACCCGCAGGTTTGACCCCCTTCTCACACCTGTTCGCGCTCCTTGCACGGAATGGGGCGGATGAGGAGGAACGGGGCTCGCCGCTGCCTCCGCTCGCCCTCCCCCCCTCTGCCGGCGGTCCCGCGATTCTTGGCTTTTTTGGCGGTTGGCACAGAAGGAAGGCAAGGGGGAGGGAAAAAAATTGAAACTTACACTTTCGTGCGTCCCTCCCGGCGTGACGCTGCGCGCTGACGTCACGGGGCTGTAATGGTGGAGTGCCTCGAGATTTTTTTCATGAAACAAGTGTGCCTTTGCCCAAAAAAGGTTGGGAAACACTGCCTTATACAACAGGGAGTATGAGGGGGCATTTTTGGTTTGAGGGCCAAAAGAGGCACCTTTGTACCAGAAGCTCCAAGCGAGCCATGCCAAAGTCAAAGGTTTCTGCACATACAGCCAGGGGAAGGAGCCTGAGAGAGGGGAGGAAGGGACCCTCACAACTGCTTTGTGGGGCAAAACCCAGAAAGAGTTGCTGAGACCACTAGGCCTGTGGTGTGTTTTCTGGAATAAAGATCTAACTTCTTTAGCCACGGGTGATTTATTTTTTTTATTGCAGGCCCGTGCCTGTTAGAATTCCTGATCTATGATTGTAGTCAGGGGATTTTTGTCTATCACATGTTTTGACTCCACAGAGTGGGAAGTGACGAAGACAGGATGTTTGTGTTTCCTGAAGTGGGACTATTGTCCTTTGTTCTTTCTCTCTTTGCTGTCTGATGCTAGAGAGAGTGGGAGCCATGTTGCAGTGCTCCGTGCGTGTTTATATGTAAATAAAGTAGATTAGCCAAAATGCTGAGTTGCTGAGGTCTGTCATGCGCAAATTGCGCAAACGCTGTGGATCTCTAAGTGTGCCAGTGTCGGTTGGCATCGGTCGCTGTGATGTTCGGGCTGAAGAAAGCTTATGAAGCTCCCGAATGATCGACCAGGAGGGAGGGAACATGCCAGTCGGGCATGTGTCTCTGCCAGAGTCCTACTCGAGTGTAGGCTGAACTCCTGACAATGCCAACACCAGCCCTGACAGCGGTGCCGGATTTACATATAAGCTAATCAAGCTATAGCTTAGGGCCCCACTCTCTTGGGCGCCCCCAAAAGATTTAAAGGAAAAAAACCACTGGATGTGCATTTCCAAAATATAAGATAAAAAACAAATAAAATAAAACCTACACACAGCAACAATGTTTTGTGTTGCGTGTGGACCTATTAGGTCCATAAATTACCATATAGCATATATTCAACCCCAAAAAACAGTGAAAATTTGTTGTTGTCAAAGAGCAGCTGGACATATAAACAGCCCCATTACCTTCAGTAGCTTAGGGCCGCATCAGACCTAAATCCGGCCCTGGCTGACAGGTTCTCACAGTGGCATCAGCCAGCTTCCAAGCAGGATATGAGAGCATTAGCAATTCTCCCCCTGTGTGGTTCCTAGTAACCGGCATTCAGAGGCAAAAGCTGCCTCTGACAGCTGAGGTAGACCATGGCCTTTGTGGCTAGTAGAAGCCACTGACAGCACAGCATTCCTTTGCCACCTCTCAGGACTGTCACTGTACCCTGAAAGCACCCCTTTCCGTCCTTACAGGTCACCTCAGAAGAGGCAGCTGTGAGCTTTTCTGAGGGACTCTGGGCTCCACCTTCCATGAAGGAGAAACATCTGTATGTAGAAACCAAGCAAGAAGATGGAGATGCCAGCCTTTTGAGTAGGGAGGAGTCTTCTTTTTTTGAGGGGGGTGATGCTCAATAAATCAGAACTGTTTGGAATTATCTCGTTATTTTCCCAGTAGGAAAAGAGCGGATGACCACAGATGAGGAGGAGGAGGATAAATATGTACCAGGCGGTTCAGAACTGGTGGGACTGCAGGGGACATTGACCTGGAAAGTAGAAGAGGAACTTCCTCTGTGTTGTGAGCCTGAAAATGTCTTGGGAAGTCAGGATGGAGGAAGGTGTCAGCAGGAAACCCACCCAGTGGAGGGAGCTGTTGGAGCCGCTCCTTGTAGGGAAGGTCACGAGGCCCCAAGGGAAACCACAGACCAGGAAGGTAAGAAATGAACATGGGGACATTGAAAGCTGCCCTTGTTGTTGTTGTTTAGTCGTTTAGTCGTGTCCGACTCTTTGTGACCCCCTGGACCAGAGCATGCCAGGCACTCCTGTCTTCCACTGCCTCCTGAATTTGGTCAAACTCATGCTGGTAGCTTCAAGAACACTGTCCAACCATCTCGTCCTCTGTCGTCCCCTTCTCCTTGTGCCCTCAATCTTTCCCAGCATCAGTGTCTTCTCCAGGGAGTCTTCTCTTCTCATGAGGTTGCCAAAGTCTTGGAGCCTCAGCTTCAGGATCTGTCCTTCCAGTGAGCACTCAGGGCTGATTTCCTTCAGAATGGATACGTTTGATCTTCTTGCAGTCCATGGGACTCTCAAGAGTCTCCTCCAGCACCATAATTCAAAAGAATCCATTCTTCGGCGATCAGCCTTCTTTATGGTCCAGCTCTCACTTCAATACATCACTACTGGGAAAACCATGGCTTTAACTATACGGGCCTTTGTTGGCAAGGTGATGTCTCTGCTTTTTAAGATGCAAGCTGCCCTTATACAGAGCCAATGTCAGGGGATGGTTGGGCGCAGAGGAATGGTGGGAGAAACCGGCTGGGGAACCCCGCAGGGAAGAAGGCTCAGAGGCCAGGGATGTGTGGTGGGACAACAATGAGTGGTCAGAGGGAGAAGACGGGGAAGAGGCTGTGTCGGAAGCTGAAGAAGTAACAGGGCAGGGTGAGCTGGGAAAGTCTGTGGCAGAGAGAAGTCCAGAAACAAAGGTAATAATAATAATTTTATTTATACCCCGCTGTCCCCAGCCAAGACTGGGCTCAGGGCGGCTAACACCTGATAGAAAACAATTGATTGAAATACAACTTAAAAAACAAGATTAAAATACGTTAAAATGCAGCCTCATTTCAGTCGAAACTCAAAAACTGTTTTGGGGATGAAAACGTCAAGTCAAGGTAGAAGCTGAAGCAGGGGAGAAGCCCAAGAGGCAGAGATGAGTCAGGTTGGTGAAGAGTCATGGGGTTTCCCCCCTCCTGCTGTGAAAAACTCAGTTCTCCCCATCTCCCAGAACCAGAAGAGGGCTGAAATGGGCTTCACAGGCTTCACTCAGGCACAGTCTCAGGTTGCTAGGAAAAAGCACAGGAGAGGAGGGGACTTAGATGGCTGTGGGGAGGCAGGGACCTATAATCTCAGCAACTGATTTAATGGAATAAGACCTACAAGAAATCAGCTGCTGTGCTCATTATGCCTGACACGCAGCCAAGTCTGCAAAGATAGTGCTTTTGCTAATACAGTGGTACCTTGGGTTAAGTACTTAATTCGTTCCGGAGGTCTGTTCTTAACCTGAAACTGTTCTTAACCTGAAGCACCACCTTAGCTAATGGGGCCTTCTGCTGCCGCCGCGCCACCGGAGCACAATTTCTGTTCTCATCCTAAAGCAAAGTTCTTAACCCGAGGGTACTATTTCTGGGTTAGCGGAGTCTGTAACCTGAAGCATCTGTAACCCGAGGTACCACTGCAGTTAACTCCAACTTGGAACTGTGTGATTTACTACCGACTCACTCTGTGATAACCAGAGACTATCGGTCAACCTAGACCAGTATTCTGGACACTGATTAGCAGCCGCTCTCCAGAATTTCAGGCAGGGGGTGTTCCCAGCCCTCCCTGGAAAAGCCAGGCGTTGAACCTAGGAGCTTCTGCATGCAAAGCAAATGCTCTACCCCTGAGTCGGGGCCCTTCCAGAAGCAGGAACGTAAGGAAATGCAGATGGAGCCCAATACCAGGTTGACCCCAGTTTGAATCCTTACCTAGCCATGAAGTTCGCTTGTCCAGTCTGTCTAACTTACCTCAAAGAGTTGTTGTGAAGATAAAAACGGGGGGGGGGGGCGTATATTGTAGCCCCAGCTTCTTGGAGGAAGGGCAGGACAAAAATAAAAATGTATTGATGGTGGTCTCTTCTTTCCCCCTGCAGGAGGAGGAAACTTCGTTTCCTGGCTGGAAGAAAGCGAAGATCCCTTTGCTCAGAGCAGTGAGGGAGGAGAGGGATTAGCAGGTAGGTGCTTCAGGTCTATTTTGCTGACGGAGAATTGTGGGGTACCCTTGTGGGGGCGATGTGCTGATGGAACCCCACCCCACATAGGAGCAAACTCCTGTGCACCAGGGCTGCTTCGGCCCACACAATAAAATATTTGAGGGGGCCAGTCCTCCACATAGTTGATGGGCATTCCCATTCAAACAGTGTGTGTGCACTGCATCATGTGATTGATTATGCAAGGCGACGCTTACCTGGGTCTCCATAATATTTTATTCAAGTTGGCACCCCTTTCACCCCAAGTTGCTGCTCCAAGATCAGAGGTTCTACGCTACTAGCCACGATGGCTAGCACCTATTTCCACTGTCTGGGGGCAGAATAAGCCTCTGAATCTAGCCAGGTAATGTCATACCGTCCAACATCTCTCCAATGAAAATAGGGACGTCCTATTCCATTATTATTATTAATACCCCACCCATCTGACTGGGTTGCCCCAGCCAGTCTGGGTGGCTTCCAACATATATAAAAACATAATAGAACATTAAACTTTTTTTAAAAAAAACTTCCCTATACAGGGCTGCCTTCAGATGTATTCTAAAGGTTGTATAGTTACTTATGTCCTTGGCTCAGGACTTGCGTAACTACATACCTTCCAACATTTCTCTGATGAAAATAAGGCTGTCCTAAGGAAAAGTGGGACATTCCGGGATCAAATCAGAAACCGAGGCAGCTTCTGTAAATTTGGGACTGTCCCTGGAAAACAGTCCAGGGTCTGTAATGTGTACAGAAATGCATATAACTAATGTAAACTATGCATTAAAATGTACATATTGAGGAAAGTAACATGTACAGTGGTGCCCCGCAAGACGAATGCCTCGCAAGACGAAAAACTCGCTAGACGAAAGGGTTTTCCGTTTTTTGAGTCGTTCCGCAAGGCGAATTTCCCTATGGGCTTGCTTCGCAAGTCGAAACGTCTTGCGAGTTCTTTTCCTTTTTCTTAAAGCCGCTAAGCCGTTAATAGCCGCTAAGCCGCTAATAGCCGTGCTTCGCAAGACAAAAAAACCGCAAGACAAAGAGACTCGCGGAACGGATTAATTTCGTCTTGTGAGGCACCACTGTACAAGCTGTTGATGCAGCCTAGAATGTTGTTGTTGTTGTTTAGTCGTTTAGTCGTGTCCGACTCTTCGTGACCCCATGGACCAGAGCACGCCAGGCACTCCTGTCCTCCACTACCTCCCGCAGCTTGCTCAAACTCATGCCGGTAACCTCGAAAACACCATCCAACCATCTTGTCCTCTGTCGCCCCCTTCTCCTTGTGCCCTCCATCTTTCCCAGCATCAGTGTCTTCTCCAGGGAGTCTTCTCTTCTCATGAGGTGGCCAAAGTACTGGAGCCTCAGCTTCACGATCTGTCCTTCCAGTGAGCACTCAGGGCTGATTTCCTTGAGAATGGATGCGTTTGATCTTCTTGCAGTCCATGGGACTCTCTCAAGAGTCTCCTCCAGCACCAGAATTCAAAAGCATCCATTCTTCGGCGATCAGCCTTCTTTATGGTCCAGCTCTCACTTCCATACATCACTACTGGGAAAACCATGGCTTTAACTATACGGACCTTTGTTGGCAAGGTGACGTCTCTACTTCTCAAGATGCTGTCTAGGCCTGTCATTGCCCTTCTCCAAGAAGCAGGCGTCTTTTAATTTCGTGGCTGCTGTCACCATCTGCAGTGATCATGGAGCCCAAGAATAGCATTAGTTTTTTGCTGCCGCATCACACTGTTCACTCATGTTAAGCTTGTGGTCCACCAAGCCCCCTGGGTCTTTTTGACATGTACTACTAGTAAGCCGAGTGCCTCCCATCTTATATTTGTGCAGCTGGTTATTCTTGCTTAAGTGCAGAACCTTACATTTCAACCCTATTTAAATTCATTTTTTAAATTTTCTTACACAGGCACCAATTCATAGCATTTAATTCTGGCTTACCTGTTTATTCCAGAAGGCAGCTTGCGAGAGATTGAGGACGAGACCGAAATATGTGGGACGTCATTAGGATGTAAAGAGAAACTCCAGGATCAAAGTGATTCAGAGTTGCAGGAGGGTGAGGCTCAGGCGGAGGATAAGGCTGAACCTGCTACTTGTCAGGGCACGGACCTGAAAGAAATCCCGACCCGGCAGGAAAAACAGAGAGAAACGAGAAGCAGCAAGTGCCTCTGTGCTCCCACCCAGGAGAAACCAAATAAAAACGTGACGGTTGGAAAAAGCTTCGCTCAGCATCAAAGACACCGTGACGGGGAAGTGCCATATAAATGCCTGGACTGTGGAAAGAGCTTCAACCACAAAGTGAACCTGATTTCACATCAGAGAATCCACAGGCGGGGAAAACTCTACAACTGCTCAAACTGCAGCAAAACTTTCCTCCACAAATCGATTCTTAGCCGGCATTTGAGGATGCACACAGGGCAGAAGCCATTCAGCTGCGCAGACTGTGGCGTCAGTTTGAGCGCTCAGTCCAGCCTCACTCGGCACCAGAGGATCCACACGAGGGATAAGCCCTACAAGTGCTTGGAGTGCGAGAAGAGCTTCAGCCAGAACTCGGACCTTATGAGGCACCAGAGACTCCACACAGGGGACAAACCATACCAGTGCTCCGAGTGCGGGAAGAGCTTCAGCCGGGGGGACTGTCTGGCTTCGCACCAGAAAATCCACACGGGGAAAGATCAGGCCAGCTTCCCGACGGCAGCAAGAACTTCGGTGATCAATCAGGTCTTATTCAGTGTGTGAGAATTCATGCAGGGAGCAAGTGGTACAAACGCTTCGAGTTTGGGAAGAAAAGTTTTATAGTGAGATCACAACCCCATTTCACATCGTAGAGCAGGGGTCAGCAAACTTTTTCAGCAGGGGGCCGGTCCACTGTCCCTCAGACCTTGTGGGGGGCCGGACTATATTTTGGAAAAAAAATATGAATGAATTCCTATGCCCCACAAATAACCCGGAGATGCATTTTAAATAAAAGCACACATTCTACTCATGTAAAAACACGCTGATTCCTGGACCGTCGTGGGCTGGATTTAGAAGTCGATTGGGCCGGATCCGGCCCCCAGGCCTTCGTTTGCCTACCCATGTCGTAGCGTCCTGTGGAGCAATCATAGACATGGGGCAATCATAGTTGCTATCTTATTAGACACTTTTACAGAAGGAAAGGCATACAGGCTTCTGCTCTGTATACCTGAAGGAGCATCTCCACGCCCATCATTCTGCCCGGACGCTGAGGTCCAGCTCCGAGGGCCTTCTGGCGGTTCCCTCACTGCGAGAAGTTAAGCTACAGGGAACCAGGCAGAAGGCCTTCTCGGTAGTGGCACCTGCCCTGTGGAATGCCCTCCCTTTAGATGTCAAGGAAATAAACAACTACCTGACTTTTAGAAGACATCTGAAGGCAGCCCTGTTTAGGGAAGTTCTTAATGTTTGATGTTTTGTTGTGTTTTTATATTCTGTTGGGAGCCGCCCAGAGTCACTGGGGCAAAGAAATAAATTATTATTTTTCTACCTCAGAGGTGAGGCACCTGAGGCCTGGAAACAAAATACAGCTCTCCAGGTTTCTCTACCTGGTCCTTGAAGTTTTCCCCATGCCGCACTCCTGCTACTCCTCCCTGGCCGAGTTTCACAAACTGATTTCCTCCCCCCTCGGACAGGAAGTGTCCTTAAAATCTGTCAGCGTCTTTTGCTGGTCTGGAGGAAAGATGGAGAGGCTGTTTGTGCCAAAACTACCCTCCCATTCCTAGGTAGCATGGGCATTTGCTGATCTACTTTCTTTTGCCTCTGTCCCCACCCAACGCCAGAATGTGGCCCTTGGAAGGTTGCCAAGGAACTTTGCCCCTGGGCTTGAAAAAGTTCGCCAACCCTGGTATACATGCTCAGATTGTAGCAAAAGCTTTTGGGACAAATTGGTGTTCCTATGGGCTGACTGGAATGAAAGCTGAACAGATGGTCCAGAGGGATAGGCTAACTACTGTTGTGGATGCTCTCGTAACCTCAAGGTTAGATTACTACTGAGCACGGGATTGCCAAGAGGAATATTCTTCTGCCACCAAATGCCTGGGGTGAACAGGCTACACTGAGTAACTGCAGCCAGGCCTTAACTTCCTGGCCAAACTGTGGAGCATGAAAGGGAGGCTTGGTCTCTGCCCTCCCTTTTCCTTGAGCTTTTAAAAAGGAAGGAAGCAGTGAATATTGTTGTGACGTGGGGTTTGTGATTTCAGCTCTCTTGACATAATATGCTGGAGACAGTTCTCTAGTAACACTTCTTTATTTAAGCAAACAAGACTGAAGACTGAGGAGGGGAAAGCTACATTTATAGGGACAGGGAACTAGTTAGAAAGGATACATTTTGGAGGGAACAATATCAGGCAATCACAGTCCTGCCTTTTGGAGGAAACCAATAAGACAGAGGATCCAAATACAGCAGCTTAAATGAACCAATAGTAGCTGTACCCTCTGGAACCAAAAGGCAGTTACTTTACCCTAATGCAAATACAGACAATAATAATACAGATATAAAATCCTTTGACTCAATACACAACAAATATCATGTTGGTTTATAGAAAGTGGTTTTGTTAGGTATGGATGAGTTTACAAATAGCTGTGGAATTGGAAGCTCTTTATTTCATTTCTTTCTTTTTTCTCCCATTTCTTCTTTCTCTTTCCCCTCGTTTTCTCTATTTTCCTTTCCTTTTTCCTTTTTCTATGTCACCGTTTGTGCTTTTATCTAGATTAGAACTTTAAAAAATAATAATGAAATAAGCACTTTTATGTCATGCTGGGATGGTGTGTGTGTGTGTGTGTGTGTGTGTCTTCAGGCCCTGGAGGCAAATTTGGCCCTCCAGTCCTCTCTGACCCTCAGGACTCTTCCCAGACTGCACCCCTCTGTGGAGATGCTGGTCCACGAGGGCAAATGGGGCACTGCCCCACCAGTGCCAGGTGGCCCCCACCTGCCTGCCTTCTTCCTTGCAACCAAGCCAAAGAGAACTGCTGTCTGACGGTTTCCTCCTCTCAGTGTTGCCCCTTGCAGAACTCAGCAGGTAGGAGGATGGGGGCAACCCTAGAATTGGTTGGCTCTGCCTGCCACTGGCTCTCTGGCGCCACCTACTGTTGGGCTCCTCGGCTTCCACCCTACCAGCCCCAGCGGGCACCAGCCACCGTGCAAACTAGCTTAATAGTCGAGAGGTGAACTTTTCATTCATTCCCCAGTCCGCTCTTGCCCCAGGCCCTGCCCACCATTGGCATGTGGCCCCCGGAAGGCCGGCCACAAGGGAATACGGCCCTCGGGCTCCCCACCCTGTAAAAGGGAAACATTCTTATCAGACCGTCTGCAAATGCATCGAAGGGTTAAAGTGACCGAGTGCTTGGTTTGCTAGAGGGGCCAAATAAAGTGCTGTGGGTTTTTTTTTGTTTTTTTTTTTGGCTGGATGGAAAACACTCGAGGTTTTTTCCCTGTTGGGGGTGGGGTTTGGTTTTGAATTCGCCTGCAGCAAAAAAACCAACCAAAAACAGGAGGAGGAAGGAAGGGGAAAAAGATCTCAGTGCGTGGAGAGGTAAGTTGCAAGAGGGCAGAGGCAGATCTCCAAAGGTGGGGGGACAGAAGAAGAGGAAGTGACTTTTGGGGGGGTTGGGGGAAGGCAACGCATCTCCAGCCCCGGTGCTTTGATCCCGGGAGGTCTAACTCTGACCCCAGCGAAATCCCTCGCGCTCATTTCCTTCCACATCAGAGAATGGATCCTCCCCGCAGTAACGCTTTTCTTTTCGGGAAGGTGGAGGTGTTGTTTGTTTTTGCAATGCAGGGAAATGGGGGGGGGAATAGATCTGGGCAGTGATTTTTCCTTGAAAACATGTCTAGGGGTACTCTCATTTTCCTACTCATAGTGAAATACTGCCCCTCAATGAGGCCAAACTTAGATTCACCAAATGTTTAGGGGGTATGCGTACCCCTGCGTAGCCTCATGAAAAAACCACTGGATCTGGTTCCATGGGGAGACACATCCCCAAACACACACACACACACACACACATTGGAAGCTGTTTTATCATTGAGTCAGACCATTGGTCTGTCAAGCTCAAGGCCGCCTGCACTGACCAGCAGCAGCATTCCAGGGTTTTGGGTAGGAGGGAAGGGGTCTCTCCTGGGATTAGAACCCGGGACCTTCTCTGCTTCTAAACTGCGACTTCCTTCACAGCAAGGCAGCGCTTTCCCGAGCTCCATTCCACCCTCCGCAACACTGCCAGCATTCCAAGGCTACTGAGCATGCTCAGTTCTCCTGGGCTGTTTTTTTGGGGGGGTTCCCCCCTTAAAGTCCCCCCCTACTTCTGCAAATCTTGGGGTTTCCCTGAGCCCTGAGGATACTCCGCTTTTGTGAGTGGGTGGCGCCAGCATTTTAAGCACGCTGTATTGCATGTCTGGGTTCCTACCCACTTTTTTGGCTTTTAATTGATTTTCTCTGTTTTTATTTTATTTTATTTTATTTCATGATTGTAAAAAGCAACAGCCTCAAAGCGTTTTGCATAAAAGATGAAACGATAAAATTTCCGCCGAGGAAAATGCATAGCGATAACGTAAGATGTTCAAAAAGTTACAACGACAGTAGATGAAAAAGAGATTTAAGACTGGTGTCAACTTTCTAAGTTCTTTAAGTTGTTTCGATACTTTCCGGGCGTAGAAAGCTAGGATAAATTTCTTTGGTGGACAGGAACTGCACTTTAAATGTGCTTTAAGAGTATGGTGTGCACACACCCTCAGCTCACCCATTCCAGGATACTCTATTCCGTTCCGCCTTCCGCTTGTGGTTTCACTCTTCCCCGCCCCCTCAGTGTTTCATGGCCACTCTGAATGCTCAGTCTCTATTGAGATGGTTTGGGGAAGATCTTCCCCTACTTTTATGAACCTCTGGGTTTCCCCCAAGCCTGCTGATGGCTCACGTCTTTGGGTAGGTGGGTCAACTTTTGCCCCTCTAGGTCAGGCACATTCTGTGTGAACAACTAGTCTCGAGTCTTCCATATGCCTGGACACTTATGCCCTGATAAAGGGTTTGTTGATCCAGCCTTAGTAGGGAAAGGATCCTGACTCTGCAGTCTCCAGAGATACTGTGGCTGATTCCTTTTCCATGGGACCAGGGGCTGCATGGTGGGTCAAACTTCTAAGCCAGGGGTTAGCAAACTTTTTCAGCAGGGGGCTGGTCCACTGTCCCTCAGACCTTGTGGGGGGGGCGGACTATATTTTTTTGGGGGGCGGAATGAATGAATTCCTATGCCCCACAAATAACCCAGAGATGCATTTTAAATAAAAGCACAGATTCTACTCATGTAAAAACAAGCTGATTCCCGGACCTTCCATGGGCTGGATTTAGAAGGTGATTGGGCCGGATCCGGCCCCCAGGCCTTAGTCTGCCTACCCATGTGCTAAGCCATGGGAAAGGGCTGCAGCTCAGTGGTACAGCATTGCTTTGCTCTGTCATTAAGCTGTATCCCTTCCCCAGAATTCAACAGGAAGGATGATGGGATGGGATTTTTTTTTAAAAAAAATCAAAATTAGTTGTCTCCTTCTCCCACTGGCTCTGGGATTATGAGAGGATTATGGGAACGCGAAGGCAGCCATCTTGCAAAGGCTGCACCTACAGTGGGGCTCCTTGCCTTCCGCCAAAGCAGCCACAACAGCCAATACTCTATATATTTTGGTTTTAATCTAGAGAAGCTTCTATACAAGAGTTTAACTCTGGGATGAGATGGAGGAGCAAGCGAGTCGTAGGCAAAAGGCTGTCTTGCAGAGTGACAGAGAAGCTCCTGACGTCCTCCAGGCTGTGATTATCGGAGAAGATCTGCAGAGAATACCGGAAGTTCGGATCAAGGAGGAACCGAGCGAGGGGCAGCTGCAGCGCTGGGAAACCCAGTGGCAGGACTTCCTGAAGAAAGTGGAGGTTTCTCAGTTAGGCTGGGCACCACAGCTGGAGGAGCCCACCCCCTGGGACGATGCCAAGGCCTTCTTCGCCTCCTTCGAGCAAGTGGCCCAAGCCTGCCGGTGGCCCAAGGTGGAGTGGGTGGCCCGACTCCAGCCGGCCCTCAGGGGAGAAGCCGAGCAGGCCTTCAGTGGGCTGGAGGCCGGAGACAGAGAGGATTATGGGAAAGTGAAGGCGGCCATCTTGCAAAGGGACGCCATCGGTAGAGAGAAGCTGCGTCAACACTTCCGGGGCTTCTGCTACCAGGAGGCTGAAGGGCCCAGAGGGGCCTACACCCGGCTGCAGGAGCTTTGCTCCCGGTGGCTGAAGGTGGAGAGGCACACCAAGGAGCAGATCCTGGAGCTGCTGATCCTGGAGCAGTTCCTGACCGTCCTTCCGCCGGAGATCCAGAGCTGGGTGAGGGAGTGCGGGCCGGAGACCTGCTCCCAGGCGGTGGCCCTGGCCGAGGACTTCCTCCTGAGGCAGCAGCAGACCAAGAGATGGGAAGTGCAGGTGAGAGTGTTTCATCCTTGTACAAACAGCAAGTGGTGGGGACCATTGATGGCCTAAGGGCCACATTCCCTTCTGGGGGGCCACATGCTTGTTTGTATAAGAAGTTGCAAGTCAGCTATGCCAGAATCAAAGGTTCCTACACATACAACCAGACAAGCAAGAGAGAGCGTTGCAGTTCAAGGACGCATTTCATCCAGGAGGGGGGAAACAGAGGAAGGGGTATGGTCTGAGAAGAGTCCCAAGGGCCATGTTGAGAGACCTGGAGGGCCACAGGCTTGTGGGAACGTTTATATAATTTAGCAGAGTTTAAACGATCCTCTGTTTGAGTTTATGCAGTGACAAGCGGGTTGCTAACTCGTTTGAGTCCTGGTTGATAATCCTTTTCTGTCCCTCTTAAAGAAAACACACATGAATCTGAATCATATTAACAAAAACTATTTTACTATCCAGGGATGTGGGTGGTGCTGTCGGTTAAACCACAGAGCCTAGGGCTTGCCGATCAGAAGGTCGGTGATTTGAATCCCCACGACGGGGTGAGCTCTCGTTGCTCGATCCCAGCTCCTGCCAACCTAGCAGTTCAAAAGCACACCAAAAGTGCAAGTAGATAAATAGGTACTGCTCCGGCAGGAAGGTAAACGGCGTTTCCGTGCGCTGCTCTGGTTTGCCAGAAGCGGCTTAGTCATGCTGGCCACATGACCCGGAAGCTGTACGCCGGCTCCCTCGGCCAATAAAGCGAGATGAGCGCCGCAACACCAGAGTCGTCTGTGACTGGACTTAATGGTCATGGGTCCCTTTACCTTTACTTAATATCAGATTCATTCAGGTTTACAGAGTTGTTCCTGAAGGCAGGCTTAGGTTACATAACAGATAAACTATATATAGTGGTACCTCGGGTTACATACGCTTCAGGTTACAGACGCTTCAGGTTACAGACTCCGCTAACCCAGAAATAGTACCTCGGGTTAAGAACTTTGCTTCAGGATGAGAACAGAAATTGTGCTCCGGCGGCGCGGCAGCAGCAGGAGGCGCCATTAGCTAAAGTGGTGCTTCAGGTTAAGAACAGTTTCAGGTTAAGAACGGACCTCTGGAACGAATTAAGTTCTAAATCCGAGGTACCACTGTAGTAGTGAGTCATGAGAAGACTTCATCCAAGCAGTTACCAGCTAACACTCCTTGCAGCGACCGACCAACTGACAAAACTGCCTGCCACATAGAGGCAGTTATTCCTCTCTCGGAATGTTGAACTTGATTGACAGCTATATATCCCACAAGGCTGAGGTCCCCCAACTGTGTTGTATATGGAATAAATGTCCTTCAACCGTTGGGTCTCCAGCTGTCATTGGACTGCAGCTCCCTGTTGCCTGACTATTTGCTAACCCTCCGGTCCATCAACATCTGTGGGGCGAGACAGGAAGCCAGAGGGAAACAGGAAACCAAGTGAGCTCTGCGCCTCTTGGCCGCCTCTCCTAAATTTCAGTTGGCACCAGCTAGGGCGAAGGTAGCTCTGGCACAATTCAAACCATATTGTTTAAAGTGCTTTAGTACCACTTTAAACAGTCCTGGTTCCCCCCAAAGAATTCTGGGGGCTGTAGTTTATTAGGGGTGCCGAAAGTTGTTGGGCAGGACCCATATTTGCCTCACAGAACTACAATTCCCATAGTTCACTGGGAAGAGGGCTAGACTGCTAAACCACTTTGAGAACTGGAGGTTTAAATAACTTTTTTTATACCTATAAAGGTTATCTATACTAGCGGCCAAAACTGTGGGAACCTTTTGGAAGAAGTGTATTTCCAAGGTTTGATGGCTCATAACACCACTTTTTATGAGTAATACCATAAAATTATATATCAGTGGAAAGATAATTTAATGAAGAATGTAATGCAACAAAATTTGTTCAATTATCTGTATTCTATCAAACGTTATAGCCAAATAACCAGAAAAAGGAAGCACAACTTGCTTAGGTTGATATGCAGTAGCTTTCCTTCATTTGAATGTAGCCAATGAGCATGAGAATTTTTGTATATCTCGTTTTTTCTATGTGTTTCACATTTCTTCTTTATGACTGCTGTTGTAATAAATAATAAATAATTCTTCATAAAAGTAATTGCATTACATTCTTCATTAAATTATCTTTCCATTGATATATAATTTTTTGGTATGACTCCCCCAAAAAAGTGGTGTTATAAGCCATCAAACCTTGGAAATACACTTCTTCCAAAGGGTTTCCACAATTTTGGCCACCAGTGTATTCATGGTAGCTCAGTTCTAGAGCACTGATCCTCAGCAAATCCAAGCTGGGCTCCCCTCTGGAACCCTGCAGAGCCACTGCCAGTCAGAGTAGGCATTTCAGAGCTAGATTAGAGTAGACTGTTCCTGTAACTAAAAAAAATGTGCTATTTAAAAAAACAAAAACAAAGTCCACCCATCTGGTACAGTGGTACCTCGGTTTAAGTACTTTATTCGTTCAGGAGGTCCGTTCTTAACCTGAAACTGTTCTTAACCTGAAGCACCACTTTAGCTAATGGGGCCTCCTGCTGCCGCTGCGCCACTGGAGCACGATTTCTGTTTTCATCCTTAAGCAAAGTTCTTAACCTGAAGCACTATTCTGGGTTAGCGGAGTCTGTAACCTGAAGCGTATGTAACCCAAGGTACCACTGTAATTGTAAAGGTAAAGGGACCCCTGACCGTTAGGTCCAGTCACAGACAACCCTGGGGTTGCGGCACTCATCTCGCTTTATTGGCCAAGGGAGCTGGCGTACAGCTTCCGGGTCATGTGGCCAGCATGACTAAGCTGCTTCTGGCGAACCAGAGCAGCGCAAGGAAACGCCGTTTACCTTCCTGCTGGAGCGGTACCTATTTATCTACTTGCACTTTGATGTGCTTTCGAACTGCTAGCTTGGCAGGAGCAGGGACTGAGCAACAGGAGCTCACCCTGTCACGGGGATTCGAACCACTGGCCTTCTGATCGGCAAGCCCTAGGCTCTGTGGTTTAGACCACAGCACTACCCGCATCCCTTTCTGGTACTTGTACCTCAGCATATAGTCCTGTCTCCCTGCTCTTAAAAAAAGGATCCTTGTTTCTTTTTCAGGAGCTGGCAAAGTTTGAGGAGGTGGTGGTGTGCTCTGTGAAGACTGAACCATCTCCCTCCAGCCCTGTGGAGATGAAGAAAGCCAAGCAGGATCTGGGTTCTGGGGTGCTGGGTAAGCCTAATTTCTCCTGCTGCCGGATTCCAGGAACCATTGTGCGAAATTTAGCTTCAATATTTTAAGAAGTGTCCAGACAAAACTTCCTGAAGTATATAGTGGAAGATTTTCTTTTTTTTAATTGTGATGTTTGATCACTGATGTGTTTGTGGCCATGGGCTCCTTTGGGAGTGAGGTTAGAGGTGGAATAATACCGTATTTTTTGCTCTATAAGACTCACTTTTTCCCTCCTAAAAAGTAAGGGGAAATGTGTGTGCGTCTTATGGAGCGAATGCAGGCTGCGCAGCTATCCCAGATGCCAGAACAGCAAGAGGGATTGCTGCTTTCACTGCGCAGTGATCCCTCTTGCTGTTCTGGCTTCTGGGATTCAGAATATTTTTTCCCGTGTTTTCCTCCTCCAAAAACTAGGTGCATCTTGTGGTCTGGTGCGTCTTATAGAGCGAAAAATACGGTAATTTGATGAAAGGTACCGTATTTTTCGCCCCATGGGACGCCCCGGCCCATAGCACAAGTTTTTGGGGGGAAGTTCTGTGGGCGGCGCGGGAGAGCGCTCTTCTCCCCCACCACCGCAGACAGGTCGGAGCGAATAGCGCTGCGCCTCCAGCTGATCACCGGATTGTTTGCCGGGGCTCGCTGGGGAGAGAGTCAGACGCGTCTCCCCGCGTCAGCCCAAACCATAAAGTGGGTGCGGCAATTCCGCTCCCGCTGTCCCCGACTGTGGGGCTGCGTGTGGCTCTCCTAGCCTGGGGCGAGAGGGTGTGCGCACCACCTCTCGCTCTCGAGCGAAAGCCTCATTCGCCCCATAGGATGCACACACATTTCCCTTCATTTTTGAGGGGAAAAACGTGCGCAAGAGTTATATTCAGCAGGTGAACCAATTCTATGGGGAAGATGAAAGAATATATCGAGACACACTGGAAGATAAAGCTAGAAAGTAGAGATGGAGAGATTATGGAACAACCAATTTCAGAAAAAGAAATAGAGAAAGTTATAGGCAAGCTAAAAGGGGGGAAAGCCCCAGGAGCAGATGGATTGGGAAAAGAATAAAGTATTAAAAATATATTGATTCCTAAAATAAAAGTATTATATAATTCAGTAATAGAGGGTGAAAGGATCCCTCCATCGTGGGAACAATCAATAATTATCTTAATTCCAAAACCAGGAAAAGATTTGAAGGACCCAGGATCATAGGCCGATATTCCTAATAAATCAAGATGCTAAAAAAAAGTGGAATAAAAAATATATATTCTGCTGTCAGTTCTTTTCATTTGGTTCCCCCCCACCTTTTTTTCCATTCTGAAAGGTTATGTGCAGCTGAGCAAAGGTGGAGAGAAAATTCTGGAGTCTTCTGAGCCTGAGGCGTTCCACAGGAGAGCAACTGTGACCGTTTCCCTGGCTGAGGAGGTGGGCAAAACGGGCAGGAGCCAACATACCCCAAAGAGGCAGCAAAGAACCCGCCAGAGGAATCGGGCAGGAGGATCCGTTCCTGGCGTGGCAGACGAGGCCCTTGGCAAACGCCTCTCAAGGCCTAAAGAACAGCCCTGCGCCATTCCAGAGGGAGGTTTCGGCAAAGACTCCAGGCTTGGCCAACTTGAAAGAACCCAAAATGGCAGGGGACAAGTTCAGGACGCCGGGGAGAGCCCTCTTCTGAGACCTGAGAAGTCGCGCATGTGCTCTTTCTGCGGGAAAGCCTTCTGCGAGATCGCCCACATGAGGGCCACACACTTCGAGAAGAAGCCCTTCCAGTGCTCGGCCTGCGCGAAGTGCTTCAGCCGCAACTCGCTGCTCCTCAAGCACGAGAGGACGCACGACGGGGAGAAGCCGTACCCCTGCTCCACGTGCGGGAAGAGCTTCGTGTACAGCTGGAACCTCATTAAGCACAAGAAGAAGCACACGGGCGAGAAGCCCCACAAGTGCTCGGCGTGCGGGAAAACCTTCTTTGAGCGCTCGGACCTCGTGCGGCACGAGAGGACTCACACGGGAGAGAAGCCCTACAGGTGCTCCCACTGCTGGAGGCGATTCAGCCAGCAGTGGCTCCTGATGAAACATGAGAAAACCCACATGGCATAGAAACCTCCACAGGGCGAGGAAATGATATCTGAAGGGGCTTCCTCCTTCCCTGTGCACCTCTGGGTGCTGACCTTGACAGAGGGGGGGGGCCCTTGGTAGCTCCACACCCTCAGAGGTTTTTGAGTGGAGGGCGGTGGCTCCGAAGAGGGTTTTCTCTCTGACATCCCTAAGCTGCAGAGTTCCCCCACTGGGGGGTTGTGTCTGAGGACACGATTATATAGCTTCTGCCGCTCGACGGAGACACCCCTTTTTTTCTATGGCTTTCAGCTTCCGATATTTTTACAGTGGTGCCTCGCAAGACGAAATTAATTCGTTCCGCGAGTTTTGTTGTCTTGCGATTTTTTTCGTCTTGCGAAGCACGGTGTCGGGAAAGTTTTGGAAAAGCTTCAAAAATCACCAAAGTCTTTAAAAACCTCAAAAAAGGCTACCACACCGCGTGCTATGAGTTGCTCCTCGAAGTCAAGTCGCAACTGTATTAACAGTGTTAAGAAAGAGGAAACAAACTTGCAAGACGTTTCCGTCTTGCGAAGCAAGCCCATAGGGAAAATTGTCTTGCGAAGCAGCTCAAAAAACAAAAAACCCTTTCGTGTTGCGAGTTTTCCGTCTTGCGAGGCATTCGTCTTGCGAGGTACCACTGTATATATAAATAGATACAGGATCCAGCTTTCTCTCTTGACGGGAATTGACTTCAACTGATTTTGAAATGTGTGTTTCTCAGGCGAGAACCAGCAAACCAGCAATGGGGAACCTCCGGCCCAGACAGGAGGCGTTGTAGATTGGCCAGCAGGAGGTTTGCAGGCCTCTGCCCATTGCCTGATCGTTGGCACCTGCTGTGCAGCCCTTTGCTAGCCCCAACGGGCAAACTGCTGGCGGTTGGGGCTCGGAAAGCACAGGCAACGGATCTATGGCAATGCTGCTTTCTGCTTCAACAGAGCAAGGGGAACCTCTCGCCTTTCAGATGTTGCTGGACCCCCAACTCCCATCATCCCTGACCACATGGCATGCTGGCTGCCAGAGCTGATGGGAGTTGGAGTCCATCTGGAGCAGTGTTTCCCAACCTTGGCCCTCCAGCTGTTTAGAACTACAATTCCCATCATCCCTGACCACTGGTCTTGCTAGCTAGGGATGATGGGAGTTGTAGTCCAAAAACAGCTGGAGGCCCAAGGTTGGGAAACACTGATCTGGAGGGTCACAAATTCCCCCTGCCCTAGAAAAGTTTGGGAACTTGGTGAGGGTTGACGTGTCCACCTCTGAGCCCATAATGCAAATGATGAAACCGGTCCCCATCTCTGATCAATATTGAATGTATTCTCCAAGGACCAACTTCCCTTTTCTTTTCTTCCTTCTCTTTCTTTTGTTCCTCCCTCCCTGTTCTAACTCTGCTGGGAGAGCCACAGACCCATTGCACTGGGTGGGTAGTAGCTCTGAACGTTAAGCAGCATAGAGCGGCTGGGGAAATCATGGGGGGTTAGGGCACTTTCAACCAGATGGGCTGGAGGCTCATTTCGTTTCCGTTTCCTACGGAAGATGAGCGAGGAGTCGCCCGCCTTTCCTGGAACTGGCCGGGGGCGAGCGGAGATTGTTTGGGGGTTGTGATGGGAGGGAGGGACCAGAGTCGAAGCAGCTGGGAAGGGGGGCAAAGGAGGGGTTGACTTGGGTGGGAGTCGCCTTACGAGATCGTTTAATTCTCATCGCATTCATTTCGGATTTCGGGTTACTGGGATCTCCCCCCCCATACAATCGCCCCTCAAATAAATTGTTTATTCTGGGTGATTATCGGTGAAATTCCTGCTAAAAGGACTTGGACTTTTACCCTATCCCACAGCTTCGCAGTGCTGTTAGTACACCAAGACCGCGACAGCGTTTTAGGGGAGCCATTGTTGGGGATTACTAGATCGTAGTTTTTGAGAGCCAGTGTGGTGTAGTGGTTAAGAGCGGTAGTCTCGTAATCTGGGGAACCGGGTTCGCGTCTCCACTCCTCCACATGCAGCTGCTGGGTGACCTTGGGCCAGTCACACTTCTCTGAAGTATCTCAGCCCCACTCACCTCACAGAGTGTTTGTTGTGGGGGAGGAAGGGAAAGGAGAATGTTAGCCGCTTTGAGACTCCTGAAGGGGAGTGAAAGGCGGGATATCAAATCCAAACTCTTCTCTTCTTCTTCTTCTTCTTCTTCTGCTGCCCGTTTTCACGTCCTGGTATTGCCTTAGAAAGCTGACCCTGGACCAGGCAATGCGTCTTTCCTGTAAATGTCATTTGCTCTTAAGCGTGTGCAGAGTGCCTTCTCTTTCCATTGAGTATGTACCATCGTATTTATCGCTGTTACTGTGAAGGTGTTTGCGCCGCTGACTTAGTACCACTTCCTTATCTCCGTGGTGTTTATGTCACATACTTTTACCATTGAATTTTGTAAGCTACTCCGGTGTCACTTTAAGCTAAACAGCAACATACAAATGCTTTAATGTAAAAAAATGGCATTCCAGTGCAGGTATCACATCTCCTGATGGTGATTTTTTTCAAGCGCAGATGGAACCATTAGTTGTGCAGTAACAGTGCAAAATGGAATGGAGTTTCTAATCTACAACATTAAAATATCATGAAATATTTTCAAAAGGATAAGAAGTAAAATAAAGAAATGGTCCAATTCCGTGTAACTGAGAACTGAATAAATTATCACTGTAGAATTAAACAGGGCAGCAAATAGATCAGTTTCCCCTCTCTCTGGTGTTCAACACCTGATTTTATGAGATTGAAACAAGTGCTTGTATGATATGTTAGCATACAAACAAAAAATATTGAGAAGTCTTTCGTCTGACTCCTGAATCTCAGGTTGATTTTATCATGGGGGAAAACAAACTAAAAAAACCTAGATGGGCTGGAGGGGATTTTTGGTAGGGAGAGTCAGGCGTTCAAATTGCTTTGATGAGTCACTCCGCTTTGGGTGAGTCTGTTCATTATTATGCCACTATTTTTAATGAGTTATTTATGTATATAAGGGTCGCGGGTGGCGCTGTGGTCTAAACCACTGAGTCTCTTGGGCTTGCCAATCAGAAGGTTGGCGGTTTGAATCCCCGCAACGGGGTGAGCTCCCATTGCTCGGTCCCTGCTCCTGCCAACCTAGGAGTTCGAAAGCACATCAGTGCAAGTAGATAAATAGGTACCGCTCCAACAGGAAGGTAAATGGCGTTTCCATGCGCTGCTCTGGTTTCGGTGTTCTATTGTGCCAGAAGCAGCTTAGTCATGCTGGCCACATGACCCAGAAAAACTATGGACAAACGCCGGCTCCCTCGACCTGTAAAGCGAGATGAGCACCGCAACCCCAGAGTCGTCTGCGACTGGGCTTAACCATCCAGGAGTCCTTTACCTTTACCTTCTTTATGTATATGATCACTGAGATTATTTCCATTGTGTTTTACTGCTCATGGTGTACTGTAGACCAATGATTCTCCACCCACCCATTACTAATCCTCTGTTGAGCACTGTATATCAATAAAATATTTAATTTGCTTCAGCTAGTTTGGAGTCTGTTGTCTTTGTCACTGGTTCAGCTGGGGTGCAAAGTGAACCCAGATTAACCCAAGAATGTGGTGGGGTCTGCAAAAAAGATGGACCGGGTATCTTCCACAGCCAATAGCCAAACACATTTCAGCTGAAAAGAGTCCTGTGGCAAACTAAAAATCCTGAACACCAACTTGAGAATGGATCAGGAGCTGTAGTCCTGTTTCAGTTGTGTTGCAGTGACAAATTCTCCTTCCCAGTTTACCCCCACCATGCCAAAGTGGAAAACTCAGTGTCTGCAAGTTTTAGCATCATGGGAGATAAAAATGTCTCCATTTGTTTTCTCCATGCTACGCTTACACCTCTTTCATGTCCCCTCTTACTTGCCTTTTCTCTGAATTAGAAAGCCCCAAATTTTCTAACGCTTCCTGGTAGCAGAGCTTCTCCATCCTCTTGATCAATTTTAAAATGCATTTTTTACAAAATACAAAAACTGCAGCAGCAAGCTTAATCCCCAAAGAGGCACTTCCCTCTCTTGCGCATGATGGAAAACCTGTCTGCATCATCAAAAAACAGATGCGAAGAAAGCTTGTTTATTCATAAGCAAACTGATGCAAATGTTATCAGGCAGCTAACTGGTTAAGGATGGACTCCTCTGCATGCAAAAGGAAGTTGGGGGGCACATTTTAAGACACTTGTGGGCACCACAAAATAGCCAGAAGAAAAATGGATGACCTCAGTGCCCCCCGCCTGAAAAAAGCAGGCAAAACCTACACCCAAAAAACAAACTCTGGGCAAAAAAAGTTGTTGTAAAGTGCCCCAAGCAGCAGCAGTAGTAGTAGTAGTAATATTTCTATGCTGCCTATCTGACTGAGTTGCCCCAACGATTTTGGGTGGCTTCCAGCAATTTATAAAACCACAGTAAAGCATTGTACGTAAAAAAACTTCCCTATACTGTACAGCATTCTAAGTTTTGGTGGTCATTAAGCCCAATCCTCTCCAAGACTTTGGCCACCTCGTGAGTAGAGAAGACTCCCTGGAAAAGACCCTGATGTTGGGAAAGATGGAGGGCAGAAGGAGAAGGGGACGACAGAGGACGGGATGGTTGGATGGTGTTCTCGAAGCTACAAACATGAGTTTGACCAAACTGCGGGAGGTAGTGGAAGACAGAGGTGCCTGGCGTGCTCTGGTCCAGGGGGTCACGAAGAGTCGGGCACGACTAAACGACTAAACAACAACAACAAGCCCAATCCTTGCTCAGTGCAGGATCCTAGACTGTTGTTGTTTAGTCGTTTAGTCGTGTCCGACTCTTCGTGACCCCGTGGACCAGAGCACGCCAGGCCCTCCTGTCTTCCACTGCCTCCCAGTTTGGTCAAACTCATGCTGGTAGCTTCAAGAACACTGTCCAACCATCTCGTCCTCTGTCGTCCCCTTCTCCTTGTGCCCTCCATCTTTCCCAACATCAGGGTCTTTTCCAGGGAGTCTTCTCTTCTCATGAGGTGGCCAAAATATTGGAGCCTCAGCTTCAGGATCTGTCCTTCCAGTGAGCACTCAGGGCTGATTTCCTTCAGAATGGAGAGGTTTGCTCTTCTTGCAGTCCATGGGACTCTCAAGAGTCTCCTCCAGCACCATAATTCAAAAGCATCAATTCTTCGGAGATCAGCTTTCTTTGTGGTCCAGCTCTCGCTTCCATAAGGATCCTAGACAGATAGATGTAAAACCTAGGATGGAAACGCCGAACAACTCAGTGGAAGAGCATAATATTTTAAGGCAGACGTTTCTCTACTCAGCATCTCCATAGGGCTGAAAGCGCCACCCCGCCTGAAACCCAGGACAGCACTGCCAGTCAGTGCAGACGTCCTGATCTGACTCGGAAGAAGGCAGGTTCCTCTGTTGCTCCGGCTCCCAGTGTAACACTTCCAAGGGAGGACAGCTCCTCCCAGATTTTCCCCCAACGGCAATCTGCCCTTTCCCGGCGATTCCCACCCATTTGGCTCCAGCCTTGCTGCAGCTGAGCCGAAGGAAGCCAGCCTGCTCTCAGAATTATAGAACTGTAGAAAGGGACCCCCGAGGGTCATCTAGTCCGACCCCATTGCTCCCACCTCTGTACTGCGGGGGGCTGGACTAGATGACCCCTGGGGATCCCTCCCAAGCCTTACGATTCTCTGATTCTGCGCAAGAGGCCCCTTCGCGACGTCCCTCCCAGCCATGGGGGGGGGGGAATGACGTTTCCCGGAGCAAGAGCTCAAAAGGGGTTAAACCAACCGAGCTTTCCTTCCTAGAAAAGACAGCAGAGAGAGAGAGGGAGGGGGGGAGAGATGAGGATTTATGGGGCGGGGGGGGGGAGCAGGCAAAGGGTCTTTTCCTGTCGTGGGAGGAGGGGGCGCCTGGGAAGATCCTTTTTTCCTGCAAGAAGAAGAAAGTGTGTGCACCATGGAAGGGTGAGCATGGAGGGGCTGCAGGGAGAGGGGGCGGAGGAAGAAAGGGGCACCCCCATAGCTCCCCCCTCCCCACCCTTTGGATCCTGGCACAGCAGGATCCTTCCCACTCAGCTCCGTCTAGATCAGGAAAAGGAGGCAGGACCCCTCTATGGAAGGAAGGAAATATATAGGTACAGATGCAGATCTATACATGCCTAGGTAAAGTGGGTCATCTAGCATTGTATTGTCAACACTGGCTGGCAGCAGCTCTCCAGGGTTTCCGGCAGGGGGAATTCCCATTCATTGTCAACATTCAGGAGATAGGTAGGTAGGTAGGTAGGTAGATAGATAGATAGATCCTCTTGAATATGGTATACAGTGCTTTTTTTCTTTAAAAATGCTAAGGGATAATCTCATTTTGACTCCAGAAAATCACCATTTTATAGTTCAAATCAGGAAAAATACAGTAAATGGACAAAAGTACATAGATTCACAAAATGTTTAGGGGTATGCCTGCATCCCCCCAGAAAAAAGCACTCTGTGTGTGTGTGTACACCAAACGTTCCTGTTCACCCAGGCATTTGATGGCTAAAAAAAGATGCTGCTCCTCACAGCCTTGAAATTATTATCTGATATATGTGTGTGTGTGTGTAAAATCTGTGAGGGTGGCTCACATGTGACTCTTTAATAGTATTTTAGGTGTGCTTAGGTTGGTTTTTTTAGATGCTCAAAACGTTTTGATTGTTATCTTGGATTGTTTGCTGTTGTTTGTAGCCCCGGGCTCCTTTGAGAGGAAAGGCGGAAATGTAATACATATAAAGAAGAAAAAGGGCCAGGGACCAGGACATAGGGTACGGTTGCAAAGGCTTCGTGCACACCATACATTTAAAACACACTGTTTATCCCCCCCACAAAAAAATAATCCTGGGAAATGTAGTTGGCATCCCTGCATAGCTACAGTTCCCAGCACTCCTAACAAACTACAGTTTCCCAGGATTCTTGAGGGGAAGACATGTGCTTTAAATGTATGGTGTGGACTTAGTCTTTCCCTTATTAGTAGGTGATAGTATTAAAACAACAAAAGAGTAAAAACAAATGCAGATTTTTTTCAGTATAACTTGCATGCAGTTACCATTTTTTTAGCATGCGCAAGTGGCTGCAATATTAGAGCTCTCTGTTCTCTTGTGAATTCATTTTCTCTTTTGTTTCTACCCTTTTCATTCTCTAGGCAGAAGCTCAGGATGCCTATCGATTTGTTCTAGAATTGTCCGTAACATGCCCTTGCGTTTGTGAAGACACTCGAGAATCAAAATGGAGAATCAGGACACCACAGGCGACACGTTGCAGAAGGCGCCAGGGAGAAAAGGGAAAAGCACAGGTTTCCTCCAGGATGGGAGCATCAAGGAACTCTTGCATCGGTTTCCAGGAGGGCAGGTGAAGGAGGAGCCAGGCGAGGAGCCGACAGAAGCCCCATGGCAGGAGCTCCTGAAGAAAATGGAGTTGCCTCGGTCCGAGTGGGAGAAGCCACAGTTGCCTGAGGAGCCGTTGGACGACGCAAAGTCTTTCCTGGCCTCTTTCGAGCGAGTGGCCAAAACCTGCCAGTGGCCCAGGGAAGAATGGGCGGCTCGAATCCTGCCGGCCCTCACGGGAGATGCTGAGCAGGACTTCAGTGGGCTGGAAGGCAAAGACAAAGAGGATTATGGGAAAGTGAAGGCGGCCATCTTGAGAGCGGAGGCCAAGAAGAGGGAAGAGCAACGTCAACGTTTTAGATGCTTCTGCTACCAGGAGGCCGAGGGGCCCAGAGGGACGTACCTACGGCTCCGGGGACTTTGCTACGGGTGGCTGAAGGTGGAGAGGCTCTCGAAGGAGCAGATCCTGGAGCTGCTGATCCTGGAGCAGTTCCTGGCCATCCTGCCGCCCGAGATGCAGAGCTGGGTCAAAGAACAAGGCCCAGAGGCTTGTCCCCAGGCAGTGTCTCTCGCAGAGGATTTCCTGCTGAGGCCACGAGAGGCCAAGGGGCAGGAGAAACAGGTGATATCCAAGGGTTGCAATGTTTGTGCGCGGCATAGAGCTATTTTTAAAATATTTCTTACTACTACATTACTACTGCCATAGTCGAAGGCAGTATGTTTCTGAATGCCAGTTGCTTGAAGCCAAAAATCATGCTTGTGGGCTTTCCTTGGGGGTGTCTGGCTAGCCATTGTGATAACAGGATAGAATCAAAGAATCACAGAATTTTATTTTATTTTTTATTTTTTTATTCAAAATTATAACAAGACATATTATCCAAAAACATATCCTTATTTCCCCCCCCCCATTTTTCCTCCCTCCCCCCTGTCACACAGAACTCCCCCCCCCGACTTCCCTCAGTTCCAAGGCTTTGGTTTCTTTAATAATGCTGTTTTCCGCATGTTACAAAGTTGTATAGATCCTCAAACTATTTAGCTGATTATTATCAGTAAAAAAATTGTGAATGTTTATTCAAAACCTGCCAAGGAGTCCAGTTCGCTTTGTTGCGTCTTCAAATACTTTTGAAAGGTTCCCATTCATCCTTAAAGTCACAGCTATCCTTGTCCCGTAGCTTATATGTCAATTTTGCCAGTTCTGCATAATCCATCAATTTTTCTTGCCATGATTATTTAGTTGGGGTTTCTTCAGTCTTCCATCCTTGTGCTACCAGAATCTCGCGGCCGTTGTCGCATACATCACAGAATTTTAGAGCTGGAAGTGACTACGTGGGTCATCAAGTCCAGCCCCCTGAAATACAGGAATCGTACGCCCTACGTCAGGACTTGAACCCACAACCCTGATATTAAGAGTCTCATGCTCTACTGACTGAGCTATTTAAGGATGACGGACTAGAGGGGTTACTGACATCCTGAACTTATTCAGAAGGGTTTCTTAGTTACGTTTAATTGCATTGCCCCAAGGTCACCCAGTGAGCTTCGTCACTGAGTGACGATTTGAACTCTGGTCCTAGTCCATCACTCTAACCCAGTGTTTTCCAAACTTGAGTCTCCAGCTGTTTTTGGACTACAATTCCCATCGTTCCTTGCCACTGGTCTTGCTAGCTAGGGACGATGGGAGTTGTAGTCCAAAAACAGCTGGAGCCCCAAGTTTGGAAAACACCGCCAAGCAACGATGGCTTTGACCCTTAGGTGAATTTCCTTTTTCATCGATATGGAGCCCTATGGCTTGAAATATCTGTTTTGATTGACAGGAGTCCCTGAAGATGGTTGAGTCTCCTCACTCAGGCTGGAAAATACCACAGTGGTCGGAGGAGCCCGGGCCATGGGATGACATGAAGGTCTTCCTGGCCTCCTTTGAGCAAGTGGCTCAAGCCTGTCGGTGGCCCCCGGAAGAATGGGCAGCCCGGCTCCTGCCTGTCTTCAGAGGAGAAGCCGAGAGGACCTTTAGCAGCCCGGAGGCCGGAGACAAGGGGGATTATGGGAAGGTGAAGGCAGCCATTTTGCGACAGGACGCCATCAGGAGGGAGAAGAACCGCCAACACTTCAGGCACTTCTGCTACCAGGAGGCCGAGGGGCCGAGAGGGGCTTACTGTAGACTCCAGAAACTTTGTAGAGGGTGGCTGGCGGTCGAAGGACACACCAAGGAGCAGATCCTGGATCTGCTGATCCTGGAGCAGTTTCTGGCTGTCCTGCCGCCGGAGATGCAGAGCTGGGTCAGGGGACAGGACCCGGAGACCTGCTCCCAGGCGGTGGCCCTGGCCGAGGAGTTCCTGCTGAGGCAGCAAGAGTCCGAGAGAGAGGAGAAACAGGTGAAACACAGGGTCAGGGATGAGAGAGAAGTAAAGCTTGAGGTTGTTGATGGACTGTGCCTTGTGCTTTGTTTTCCTTGGCTGTTATAACAACAACAACAACAACAACAACAACAACAACAATAATAATAATAATAATAATAATAATTTATTATTTATACCCAGCCACTCTGGGCGGCTTCCAACAAAATATTAAAATACCGTAATACATCAAACATTAAAAGCTTCCCTAAACAGGGCTGCCTTCAGATGTCTTCTAAAAATCTGGTAGTTGTTGTTCTCTTTGACATCTGGTGGGAGGGCGTTTCACAGGGTGGGTGCCACTACTGAGAAGGCCCTCTGCCTAGTTCCCTGCAACTTGGCTTCTCGCAGTGAGGGAACCGCCAGAAGGCCCTCGGCGCTGGACCTCAGTGTCCGGGCTGAACGATGGCGGTGGAGACGCTCCTTCAGGTCTACTGGGCTGAGGCCGTTTAGGGCTTTAAAGGTCAGCACCAACACTTTGAATTGTGCTTGGAAACGTACTGGGAGCCAACGTAGGTCTTTCAAGACCAGTGTTATGTGGTCTTGGCAGCCGCTCCCAGTCACCAGTCTAGCTGCCACATTCTGGATTAGTTGTAGTTTCCGGGTCACCTTCAAAGGTAGCCCCACGTAGAGCGCATTGCAGTAGTCCAAGCGGGAGATAACTAGAGCATATGCACCATTCTGGCGAGACAGTCTGCGGGCAGGTAGGGTCTCAGCCTGCGTACCAGGTGGAGCTGGTAAACAGCTGCCCTGGACACAGAATTGACCTGCGCCTCCATGGACAGCTGTGAGTCCAAAAGGACTCCCAGGCTGCGCACCTGGTCCTTCAGGGGCACAGATACCCCATTCAGGCCCAGGGAGTCCTCCACCCCCGCCTGCCTCCTGTCCCCCAAAAACAGTACTTCTGTCTTGTCAGGATTCAACATCAATCTGTTAGCCGCCATCCCTGAAGGCCAAGCTAGGTCCAACATTTCTTGTGGAAGCACCCAACGTTTTTTGCAGAAGCACCCATGTCTGAAAGGATTGCTCTTACTTTTACTCTTAAGAATAAATAAGAATAGAAAAAAATTATTATAAATTAGTTTGGAGTTGCTATTTAACGCCAGTCAGATTAAATCAAATAAACAAGGAATATTCGGTTTTATGTTGGAGGGGATGCCAGGAAACCGGGAATTACGTTCACATGTGGTGGGGGTGTAAATATGTAAAAAAAATTTGCCAAAGGGTGTTTAAGGAGATACCAGAAATCACCGGGTTAAAGCCGACCAAAAGTCCAGAGGTAGCATCATTATCAATTTACGATGGGGTGGAAGGTTCGCAGGCTAGGAAGTACTTGCTCAGAAATTTATTGACAGCTGCATGAATTATGATAGCTAGGAAGTGGAAGGGGGAAGCAGAATATAAAATGGAAGAATGGTATAAAGAGGTGTGGGATAAAGCTATTAATGATAAGTTAACATGTGCCATTAAGGTAAGAGGGGAATACACAGGAGAAATGATTCTGAGGAGATATGGAAGGTGTTTGTAGAATTTGTACTGTTAAAACAGAAAGGGGTCAAACCATCGCAAGAGGAGTTGAAATTTTGGGAGGTTGGATAGTTCCAATGGAATGGTCTCGGGGGTGCGGTGCACATTTTTATTCTTATTTATTTAAGATTATTACTTTGTCAAAATAAAATAAAATAATTAAAAATTAAAAACTGGCTCCATAATGTAAAAAAAAGGATTGCTCTCTGCTGTTCCAGGTGGCTTTGGAGGAGGAGGAGGAGGAAGAAGATGCAAATTTCTCGGATGCAGGGCAATCTCCGTGGGACTCCGAAGAGGGGCACCTGTGTGTGGTAATCAAGCAGGAAGTTGAGGATGGAGAGGCCAGTCCGTGTGGTGAGGAGACATGTGCCTTTCTTTCAGCTCAAGTCCTTGCCTGGGTTAAGCTCAGCTCAGGCTCCTCCATACTCCCAGGTCCTTGTTTGTAGGCTTCCCTTAGGTATCTGCTTGGCCACTGTGAGAACACGATGCTGAATTATGATGGGCCTCTGGTCTGATCCAGCCCTTTTCTAACATCCTTTTCCTGTTGCCAGTTCTTAATGGCTAAGATTCAACTGCCCATATAGAATATTCTATCATCATCATCATCATCATCATCATCATCATCATTATTATTATTAGAGTCTGAGGGAGTTAGCACTATGAACAGGGCTCCATTTTCTGATCACAGCACACAAGAGGGTCTGTAGGGAGAGAGGTGGTCTAGTCAATGTTATTCTTTCAAGAATAGTGGGAAAATATACAAGAACAACAACAACAATTTATTATTTATACTCCACCCATCTGGCTTGGTTTCCCCAGCCACTCCCAACAGAATATTAAAAACACGATAAAACTTCAAACATTAAAAACTTCCCTAAACAGGGCTGCCTTCAGATGTCTTCTAAAAGTCAAGATAGTTGTTTATTTCCTTGACATCTGACAGGAGGGCGTTCCACAGGGCGGGAGCCACTACCGAGAAGGCCCTCTGCCTGGTTCCCTGTAACTTGGCTTCTTGCAGTGAGGGAACCGCTAGAAGGCCCTCGGTGCTGGATCGCAGTGTCCGGGCTGAACAATGGGGGTGGAGATAAATAAAATACGTTTTATTTCTATTATATATTTTGTAAAGTTGTTTATCCTCTACCGATCTGGACACATTTGGATATCACAGCCAAATTTTGCACAAAATTCCTACAAGGACAGAGCAGGGTGTTGTGCATGGACGCCATCTTGAATCAAGATGGCGGGCTGAACTTTTCAAAACGGCACCTTTTGCATTCCTGAGCAATGCCGGGTACACATGCTTCTAGTAAAGAAAAATAAAATAAGATTCAACTGCCAATCCAGTCAGCCTGTGTTACATGGAATTGGGGGAGCGCCATCTTTTCCTCGTCTGCACTTCTCTGCCCACTTATCTGGGAGTAAGTCCTACTGAACGCAACAGGTCTTACCGCTGAGTAGACATGTACAAGACTGCACCCTTAATTTGGTTTTAGGCACTACTTGAATACTCTCAGCTTTTTATTCCATTGTTGTTTGTTGTTGTTTCTCGGGCTGTGCGCACACCATACATTTAAAACTCGTTTCCCCCTCTCCAAATCATCCTGGGAACTGTAGTTTATATCTCTCGCAGAGCTACAATGCCCAGCACCCTTCACAAACTACACTTCCTGTGTGCTTCATTGTATTTCATGTTTTACCACTGCTTTCTGCCTTGAGCTCTCTTGGCAGAAGAAAAGATGAGATACAAAAGTTTTAAATTAATAAAATGAAGGCATTTCTCTTCCTCCAAAGAAGACTGGGCTGTGAGAGGAATCGTGGTGGAGGAAGGCCTCAAGGTGGAAGGCAGTCTGAGGTGTTCTCCAGGAGAATTTCAAGAGCTGGCTGAGAGTTGTTTATTTGTTTATATATTTCTAAAAGCAATGATACCGCTTAGCAGAATAAAAATATCTAAGCAGGTTATGTAGGGATCTCCATTGTTGTGTTTACTGGGCACACGGCACCTTCGAGCCGCCACTCACCCCGCCACCCTCTTTTCCAGGCTGGGAAAAGAGATTTAAACTTCTTCACCCATCCCAGTGCCATGTCCCATTTGATATTTTCACCACTGCAAGCCAAACTGATGGGTTCAGGGGGCAGGTTAGGCCCCTGTGCTGAGCATTACCCACCTCTGGTTCCAGCCAATAAAAGTTGGTAAGGGTGGGAAATTTGTGGCCTTCGAGAAATGGTTGGGCTTTGCCTCCCATCAACCCAGTATAGCCAAAAGGGAACTAATGGGTCTAATAACTGTTCCAGGTAACCAGTACTTCCATTGGGTAAGAGTTCTCTCTTTCTCCCACCAGTAAATATGTGCAAGACTGAAAATGAGGAGGAACCAAGCGAAGCGTCTGTGGAAAGATTTGAGGATGCCGGGAATACGTGCCCCGTGTGTGGGAAAAACTTCAGCTGCAAATCGGACCTTAACAGACATCAGAGAACCCACACAGGAGAGAAACCATTTCGATGCTTTGAGTGCGGGAAGAGCTTCAGTCGGGGCGACTACCTTATTTTGCACCAAAGGCTTCACAGAGGGGAGAAACCCTATAAGTGCTCAGAGTGCGGGAAGGGCTTCTATCGAAGCACGCGCCTTATTTCACATAAGAGAATCCACCTAGCGGAGAAGCTGTATAAATGCTCCAGCTGCAGCAAGAGCTTCTGTGACCAGTCCAGACTTATGCAACATAAGAGGACGCAGCACTCAAGCGAGAGGCCGTATAAATGTTCAGAGTGCGGAAAGAGCTTCATTCGGAAAGCACACCTTACTAGACATCAAAGAATCCACACAGGCAAGGTACTATACAAATGCTTAGAGTGTGACAGGAGCTTCAATTGTAGCAAGCATCTTATTTCACACCAAAGAATCCACACTGGAGAGAAGCCGCATAAATGCCCAGCGTGTGGGAAGAGCTTTAATTTCAGCGGGAACCTTACTTCACACCTGAGAATGCATACAGGAGAGAAACCATTTGAATGCTCCGAGTGCGGGAAGACTTTCAGTCGGAGTGCCCACCTCACCTTACATCAGAGAACCCACACGGGGGAGAAGCCATACAGCTGCTTGGAGTGCGGAAAGAGCTTCAGTCAGAGCAGCAACCTTACTTCCCACCAGAGAATCCACACAGGGGAGAAGCCTTATAAATGCTCGGTGTGTGACAAGAGCTTTGGCCGGGGTGACTCTCTTATTTCCCATCAAAAAACCCACGTGGCAGAAACCATATAAGTGCCCAGAGTGTGGAAAGAGCTTTTTGCCAAAAGCACGCACCTTATTTCACACAAGAAAATTCACAGACGAGGGAGGAACCGCAGGAAAAATGCTGTGCCGTCAATGCTTGGAACTGGGAAACGGCTTTGGCAAAAAGACAACTCTTGCTACACCACAAAGAATGCACAACTCTCAAAACCATCTGCTTGTTCTCATTTGCTCCACTGAAACATACATAGTGAATAAAATTAGAAAAGGTTTATCAACGGATATAACCTTTATTATAGTGTTGAGCAGAGCTTTCCAGACTTTTCACGTTGGTGACACGCTTTTTAGACGTGCATCCTTTCGTGACACAGTAATTCAGTTTTGCTAGCAAACCGGAGGTTAAACTAACCCCTTTCCAGCCCCGGGAGGAGCATGGGGAACGTTTGTGCAACACAACTACACACCACAGCTGACTCACTGAAATATTGCAACACATAGTTTGGAAAGATCTGGTACAGAGAGAGACAGGACTAGTTTTTGCCTTTCCCAAGGTCTCTTGGAAGCCAAAGAGACACTATATTGCGGCCTAAAGTGATTTGAATTGGGTCATCTGAAATCCTTAGTTGGGGGGCAAGCCTTCAGTTGACAGTCCAAACTAGATTTGGGCCTTCTGTCCTGGAAACTGAGAACACTGTCATGGAACAAGGAGGCATATCTACAATTACTGAGGGTAGGGTGGGCGGGGACCAATATTACAAAGTTCAGGTATCTTTGTGAAAGAGCTTCGCAAGTACGGCACATTAAACAGGTTTTAACGAAGTACGATTAGCCTTGTTCTTGTTGATAGCTGTTAGTGTAGTGATCTGAAGAGTCTACAAGTTTGGGAGGCTCATAAAGGTGAGCTCCCATTGCTCTGTCCCAGCTCCTGCCAAGCTAGCAGTTTGAAAGCACACCAGTGCAAGCGGATAAATAGGTACCACTGTGGCGGGAAGTAAACGGCATTTTCATGTACTCTGGTTTCTGTCTCGGTGTTCCATTAATCCAGAAGCAGTTTAGTCCTGCTGGCCACATCACCCAGAAAGCTGTCTGTGGACAAACGCCGGCTCCCTCAGCCTGAAAGCGAGGTGAGCACCACAACCCCATAGTCGCCTTTGACTGGACTTAACCATCCAGGGGTCCTTTACCTTTACCAATCCTTGGAATATCAAGGTAGGAAAAGACTCCTGGAAAGAATTTATCTAGAGCCACAATCTCTCATAACATTGTCCTTGATGAGTCTGGAGAACTCGAAAGCTTCCTTATGTTTCGTGGCATTTTTTGTTGGTCCTAATAAAAAAGTTTTGCTCAGCTGTGGATTTTGGAGTTTTCTCCCAAACAGAAATTATTTCTCTTACCTGCATTCCTACATTTTCACTCCCCACCACCACCCAGGATCCTGTTTCTGTCTTGGTGTTGTCTGGTAACATCTGGTGAGCAATAATTCTCTGTCCCTGACTTAAAAGAGTGGCATAAGATGTGTTGTGGAATACCTCTGATGAGACCCTGGGGAGCAGCTGCCAGTCAGAGTTGGCATCACTAGGCTAGATGGAGCAATGGCCTGGCTCTGCGTAAGGCAGCAGCAAATGTAACACACCATATGCACCATCTGTTTAAATTCTATTCGTCAGCATGCCACTCGAACTCAGGAGGAGTTAAAAACTACTGTATTAGCAACCCTATAAACAGAAGTAAAGGAGGCAGAAAGGACAGGAAAATGAGTTCGGAAGGTTGTAGGACTAACTTTGTTGCTGTTTAGTTGTTTAGTCGTGTCCGACTCTTCGTGACCCCCTGGACCAGAGCACGCCAGGCCCTCCTGTCTTCCATTGTCTCCCGCAGTTTGGTCAAACTCATGTTCGTAGCTTCGAGAACACTGTCCAACCATCTCGTCCTCTGTCGTCCCCTTCTCCTTGTGCCCTCCATCTTTCCCAACATCAGGGTCTTCTCCAGGGAGTCTTCTCATGAGGTGGCCAAAGTATTGGAGCCTCAGCTTCAGGATCTGTCCTTCCAGTGAGCAGTCAGGGCTGATTTCCTTAAGAATGGAGAGGTTTGACCTTCCTGCAGTCCATGGGACTCTCAAGAGTCTCCTCCAGCACCATAATTCAAAAGCATCAATTCTTCGGCAATCAGCCTTCTTTATGGTCCAGCTCTCACTTCCATACATCCCAGTAGTGATGTACGGAAGTGAAAGCTGGACCATAAAGAGGGCTGACTGCCGAAGAATTGATGCTTTTGAATTATGGTGCTAGAAGTAAAGGAGACAGAAAGGGCAGGAAAATCAGTTCGGACGGTTGTAGGACTAACTTAGGCACACTAATTCCAATGGGTCTACTCTTAAGTAGAAGTTAGTTGGCTGCCACCCAGTACAGTTGCCAACTTTTTTTGGCTGCGACTGACCCCAGTGCCATTGACATTTTAGGCATTGGCTGCATACCTTTAAAACACCATGATATGGATTTTTTAAAAGAAATATTTTATTTCCATTTTTAAAACAATATTCTTATACATTCACATCGGACTCCCCCCACTGGTCTCCAATTTTTCCGTTTTTCTAATCCATTTTATTTCATTTTTTACCTTAACTCACATTATCTGTGTTGCAACAATCCCACTAACATTTTTAAGTATACACAGTGGTCTTTAAGATATTCTACAAACTTTTTCCACTCTTGACTGGATTTCTTGTCATCTTGATGCCTGATCCTGACGGTCATCTTTGCCATTTCGGCATAGTCCATCATCTTGGTTACATGATACTGTTTTAAACTGTCCTGCATTGCAGGGAGTTGGAATAGATGACCCTCGGGGTTCCCTTCCAACTCCACAATACTATGATTCCATATTGCAGCTTCTTCCCCAAAAGTATGGGAGCTGTGGTTTGCTAAGGGAGCTGTTAGCAAACTTCTGTTCCCTTCCTGGAGCTACATGGCTGCTTAAAACAGTATGATGCTGCTTTAAATATGTGTTGTTGTTGTTTAGTCGTTTAGTCGTGTCCGACTCTTCGTGACCCCATGGACCAGAGCACGCCAGGCACCTCTGTCCTCCACTACTTCCCGCAGTTGGTCAAACTCATGCTGGTAACCTCGAAAACACTATCCAACCATCTCGTCCTCTGTCGCCCCCTTCTCCTTGTGCCCTCCATCTTTCCCAGCATCAGTGTCTTCTCCAGGGAGTCTTCTCTTCTCATGAGGTGGCCAAAGTACTGGAGCCTCAGCTTCACGATCTGTCCTTCCAGTGAGCACTCAGGGCTGATTTCCTTAAGAATGGATGCGTTTGATCTTCTTGCAGTCCATGGGACTCTCAAGAGTCTCCTCCAGCACCATAATTCAAAAGCATCCATTCTTCGGCGATCAGCCTTCTTTATGGTCCAGCTCTCACTTCCATACATCACTACTGGGAAAACCACGGCTTTAACTATATGGACCTTTGTTGGCAAGGTGACGTCTCTACTTCTCAAGATGCTGTCTAGGCTTGTCATTGCCCTTCTCCCAAGAAGCAGGCGTCTTTTAATTTCGTGGCTGCTGTCACCATCTGCAGTGATCTTTAAATATGTAGTGCAGGGTATATTTATTGAAAATGTGCATACTTTCCTTATCCATTGTTTCTAAGAAGTTATGTTGGTCGAATCTGTATTTTGCTATACTGAAAACTAATAGAAATATTTGGAGAATATACAGTGGTACCTCGGGATGCAAACGGGATCCATTCCGGAGCCCCATTGCATCCTGAAGCGAACACAACCCACGTCCACACATGCATGGGCCGCATTCTGACGCTTCCGTGCATGTGCGCGATGTCATTTTGACTGCACATGCGCGCGCAGCTAAACCTGGAAGTAATGCGCTCCGTTACTTCCGGGTCGCCGTGGAGCACAACCTGAAAATACTTCACTTGAAGCACATTTATCCCGAGACATAACTGTATATATATTTTCATATTATATTATATTATATTATATTATATTATATTATATTATATTAATTATATTATATTATATTCTTATCTATCTTATCTTATCTCTTATCTTATTATAGAATAGAATCATAGAGTTGGAATAGACCACAAGGGTCATCGAGTCCAACCCCCTGCCAAGCAGGAAACACCATCAGAGCACTCCTGACATATGGTTGTCAAGCCTCTGCTTAAAGACCTCCAAAGAAGGAGACTACACCACACTCCTTGGCAGCAAATTCCACTGTCGAACAGCTCTTACTGTCAGGAAGTTCTTCCTAATGTTTAGGTGGAATCTTCTTTCTTGTAGTTTGGATCCATTGCTCCGTGTCCGCTTCTCTGGAGCAGCAGAAAACAACCTTTCTCCCTCCTCTATATGACATCCTTTTATATATTTGAACATGGCTATCATATCACCCCTTAACCTCCTCTTCTCCAGGCTAAACATGCCCAGCTCCCTTAGCCGTTCCTCATAAGGCATCGTTTCCAGGCCTTTGACCATTTTGGTTGCCCTCCTCTGGACACGTTCCAGTTTGTCAGTGTCCTTCTTGAACTGTGGTGCCCAGAACTGGACACAGTACTCCAGGTGAGGTCTGACCAGAGCAGAATACAGTGGCACTATGACTTCCCTTGATCTAGATGCTATACTCCTATTGATGCAGCCCAGAATTGCATTGGCTTTTTTAGCTGCCGCGTCACACTGTTGGCTCATGTCAAGTTTGTGGTCAACCAAGACTCCTAGATCCTTTTCACATGTACTGCTCTCAAGCCAGGTGTCCCCCATCTTGTATTTGTGCCTCTCATTTTTTTTGCCCAAGTGCAATACTTTATATTATATTATATTCAGTGCTTTTTCTGGGGGACACAGGGGTACGCACACCCCTAAACATTTTGTGAATCTAATGGGAGAAGAAACTTAAAAATTTCAAAAATTTAGTTTCTTCTCTAGCACGGTGAACCGTCAGTTCCATTGCTACCCCTGATGGCGGCTTCATTTCCAGTCACGTTGCTTCCTCAGTCTCAGATAGAATGAGAGCACCCCTAAACATTTTTTAAGAAAAAAAAGCACTATATATATTTATATTTTCTCACATTATATATATATACCGGAGGTGAGCCCCCAGTCTCCCTCCAACCTGTCTCAGCACAGAGCTCCTGCTGCCTGATCTCCTTCAAACAAAGGGAATTTCTATTTTTGCACTCTCTTCCCCCCTCCTAACCCCTATTTCCAACCCCACTCTGCCCTACCTATTCGATTTGCTCATAGCTTTGAAGCAGGGGGAGGTGATGTCATTTCCTGCTAGGCCCGCAATGCATCCTGGGACTTGTAGTACAGTTCCTTGTTGCTGTGAACTACCATTCCCAAGGAAGCTGCTGCAAAGTGCCTGCTTCGGACGTCCCCTTTTAAAGCGGCCGCGGCTATTTTAATAATGATAATTGTTATTCATTTATTTTTTTTAAGCAAATGCACAAGGCAAGGGAAAGAGAGAGGAGGGTGCAGAGCAGGGATTTGGAAGAGAGGAGCTGAGCAGGCGCCTCGCTCGGGCTGCAGAAAGTCACGCACTCCGAGCAGCAGTTTTTGCAGGGCGTTTTCTTCCGCGTAAAGCCACAAAGGATCGGGCCGCCGGGAGATCGGCTGCTGGCTTTGCTCTGGAAGGGCAGCCAGACGCATCTCCGGGGTCAGTGCCGGGAGAAATAAGGAATTTAAAGTCACTTTCCTCCCCCAAGACACGTTGTTGCTTTGGGGTCTGGGGATCCCTCCTTGCGGGGAGGAAGGAGCACGTGGCTTTGGATCTGGGTGAGTCCAGAAGAGGTCGATCTTGCACGTCTAGGAGAACCAGGAACAGGCGGGGGTGCGATTGGCTGAAGGGCAATATGGGATTTATATATTTATATTTATTTATTGCATTTATAAACCACCTTTTTTCTTCCAAACAGCTCCGTGGTTCCCCTCTTCCCCATTTCATCCTCACCACATCCCAGTGAGCTGCATGGCATGGCTGAGTGGGGATTCGAACCCAGCTCTCCTAGGTCCTAGTCCAGCACCTTAACCATTACACCACAGCGATACTCGTGTCTCGAAGCTGAAATCCCAGGGTGGCAGAACTGGAGGAGAGGACCAGAGTTCGAATCCCTACTCAGCCGCGAAGCTACCTAGGTTACCTTGGGCCAGTCGCTGGGGTGCCTTGAATGATGGTCAGGGGGCTGTGGGCAACACTGGCCTCCATCTTCCTTCCTTCCTTCCTGCTTCAATTATATTTTATTAATTTTCCATACATTCATACCACATTACAATTTCTATTAAATTTTCCATTTTTGACTTCCTTCGGCTTCTCTGCCAATCATCCAAATTCTAACTT